TAACAAAATTCAAGAATACCCAAGAATGGAAAAATCAGTATGTGTTAAAAAAGTGATGTAAGTATGTTCTTAGAATCCCTAGAAAGGATTGATCATTAGAGTTAGGCTAATTATCAGTGCCTCTGAGGAATAAATTTTAATTTTATTTTCATTCAGATTTTTTTTTGACAAATGAAAGTTGAACAAAATATTTTTAATTTTTAAAATTTTATTCCATGTTGTAGACAGCCAAAATTTTGTACATATCTGGTACCATATTAGAAATAATTTATCATTCTTTATAATATTCAATATCATAATACATTGGAACTTTTTTTAAAAAAAACAGATCAAACATACACAAGCGTTGAATAGAAAGTGGGCTGAGGACAACGAAGTACAGAACTGTATGGCCTGTGGGAAAGGCTTCTCGGTCACAGTGAGACGGGTGAGTGGGTTGATTCCTGGAGCTACATTTCTGGATCTCATTTCTCACTGATAGTATTTTAATCATCAAAATAGTTCTGCATTTAATGAATTTTTTAAAAATTCCATTTGTTGGTAAACTTTATAACTACATATTAAATTTCATGTAGTCTAGTTTCTGGTTAGCCTGTGTTTGAATTTTAGTTTTAAATTCAGTCATCGTTTTCCTACTGAGTTATTCTATGGGACATTTTTGGATCCAGTGCACCAGTGTTGAACTCATGAGGTTTAGTCATCAATGGGTTCTTTTAAAGGAAGAAAAAGCAGAGAGATGTAAAGACACATATTTGAAATAGTACTGTTTAAATAATTATGTGTAAATTCCAATTGAAGACAGTATTTCTGAAACATTTGGCAAACATATAGTTTTTTGTTCGATACGTGTGTTTTCACACTTAAAATATGCTTTTTAGAGTTCTTTTGAAAATTTTATGATAAAAACAGGCATAAAATGTTTATATAGTGTTTAATAAATAAGAAAGTCTTCACTTTAATGTAACAAAGGGGTTAAATTAACATGTTGAAATATTCTTTCATTAAGTAATAGGATAATCACTGGAAAATTAGTATACCTTTACAGTGTAGTCTGTGACTATACTACTGTAGTTTTATAATGCTTTTGTTATAGTGTTTGTGCTTGAAATTGTTTAATTTTTATCATTTACAGCATCACTGTCGTCAGTGTGGAAATATCTTCTGTGCTGAATGTTCAGCCAAAAACGCCTTAACTCCCTCTTCCAAGAAGCCTGTTCGCGTCTGCGATGCATGTTTCAATGACTTGCAAGGCTAACAGTCATCACAACTCCAGAGTAATATCACACTAACATTAGATTTTTAATAAATGTGCTTAATAGAGGTCTTGGACTACTCTTTGATTTGGATTCTGGTTGCAATACTAGACCAAATTAGAATCCGTATATTTTGGAACGTTATCGATATCAACAAAAACTCTTCTATTTTTGTGAGACTTGAGTTCATCTTTCATTATTTTTTCCATTTAACCCCTGGAATAGCTTTCATGCCAAGTTTAGAATTAGCCAATGAAATGTAAATAAACTTTGGACAGAAAATAGCAATGTATTTTTTTAAATATAATTTCATTGTTCACAAACAATGAGTACAATTCCATAGGTTCTTTCTCCCAAATTATATGTACAAAGATGTACATGGATCATGTTATCATTTGTTTTTGTTGCACAACAGCACACTATTGTTTTAAACATTCTCTTTGTGGAATCATGCACAGAATTATAAAACTTTCTATCTTTATCATTTATATATAGGTCTGTAGCTCAGTTTTGTTGTTATGTTATAAATTTACTACTTGGGTGTTTTAAATACAGTTTGTGTTAAAATATGTACTAACCATGAATTCAAACATAGTTTTTGTCCTAATGATATGGATTAAATTCTCTTTAGTAGATTTTATGAAAACCTCTATAAAATCAATTTGCTTACTTTATGGTAATCCTGGGATAGTATTTAGAAGATTAGGGTTAAATTTTCTTTTTCTTTTTTATTTTTAAACTCCCAATATTTTTCATTAAAAATCCTATAAAGCTTCTCACCTTCACCATCAGTTGAAAGATGAATAATAGAAATTGTATCATGGTCCTATTCTAGTTTTCTCATAAGTGGGAAGTCTTCTGAGGTTAGCTTTCATGTTATACCTTCATTTTGTCTCTCTAACATCTTTAGGAGTCTTGAGTTTACTTTTTAATAGATCTGATTTTTTTCCTTTATTTGATTTTATCTTCCCAAGCATAGCCCAATGTCACTGTAATTGTTTTATAATTTTGCATCTTAAAGCTAGAAAATGGTATTGCTATGGTCTTTGCCATGAAAACAAAATACAAAATGATAAGAAAGTATTAAATATTCTACTTCACATTTTCTTCTTACCTAAAGGAAGAATTTTTAAAAGTTGTAAAATTTACTTGAAATGCTTTTGAATTGGGACCTATATTAACTTGGAAATCTTTTTAACTTTGAAAAAATAATGCTTGGAAATTACCTCTAAGTAACAGCTAGAGAATAGAGTATCACCTAAAACAAATATATTTATATGATAACAAGTGAAACAGAATTACCACACACTTTAAGGGTAACTAAGAATTAACCCTCTGTATGCTGAACAATGGAATTGAACTTTATTTTGTCATTGTCTTGATAATTTAGAAAACTGGAAAGCATCTGAAGACCGAAGTCACAAATATTAGTTTATTAATTATCTTTCTAGAGAAGAAATGTAGAGTCATAACATTCATTCAGTTGGAATCATTTAATAACTGTAACAGCTAAGGATGAGAGTTAATATTTCATTTACCACAAATAATTTATAAGATGCACTTGCTTTCAAATATCATTCTGAAATGAAATTATGTTTATGTCATACCTACACATATATAAATAAAGAGATTGTCACATATTCATTTAATTACTAAAAAGAATTTATAGAAATCCTGTTGTCAGCCAGTAGCTAGCTATTAAGGACATTGGTTAAATCCATGAACTTGTATAAACATATCCTTGAGCATCTATAATGAAGAAATAAATACTATGGTTCTTTATGAAAAATAATAGTTGGGATAATAGAAACTGAATGACTTATGCATTTTAAATACTAATAAATTCTTTCAAAATTATCTTAATTCTATACATTTACATGTAAGTAAAACTGTATATGTTGGAAAAACAGATATTCACAATACTGTTGTGAATTGTTTGTTTTGTAGTTGTTTTAAGATAATAAAACTTCATAAATGTTTTTTTTTTTAAGATAGTAAAACTTCATGAATGAGAATGCTGGATTAGAATGTCAACTTCATCAAATTGGACACACTACAGACTTCTCTGGGTCTTCCACCCCCACTCACCCACACGTATTCACAATTGTAGGGACAGCAAATAAAACAATGTGTGTTTGAGTGACTTTTCTGTTTTTTTTTTTTCTAATTAATCTCATTTGATAGGTCTCAATAATTTACCTATTTAGGCTATTATATTGATAATATAAATGAAACCAAACATTCTTGCTATTAACTCAGCAGTTTAATGTGTTTTGGAAATAAAAAGGGTTTTTCCCCCCTTTTAATTAAAAAGTCCTTTTCTGAGTTCTTGTTGGCTATATACATTTTAGATGTTTGCTGGTACTATTATTTTTTCAGTACATTGGAGCTGGCAAATGCAGGGTCTCATTTCTTGGTTCTAATGCCAAACATGTTGGCATTGAGTGTTAGTAAATTGCAAACCACAGAATTGTGAGTTAAAATCAAGTCTTGCTGGCTTAGTGTGTAATAAATTATACTGACAGAATTCTTTTAATAGAAAGAAGGCAAAGTTGCTGGTATAGGATTTGTTAATTTTGAAGGAAAAAAGAGGGGGAAAAAAACATAAAAACCTCAATACAGTGTACAAATAAACATTTTGTTCAACTACCTCTTAAAGTGGAATTAGCTAGTTTAGTAGTTTCCGTACAGTAATGTTTTTAAATAGTAACTGCCAAATTTGTTATTTTCCCATCTCTCTTAAAAAGTCTTTATGATTATTTTATATAGTTTTGGGATCTTTAAAGTCACTTTTTTTAATCTTGCACTTGCTTAAAAATGTTTAGCTTTTAAGTGGAGAGCAAATTATGATCATATATTTTGATATTCATGACCTGTTTGATGATAGAATTTTTTTTAATGCACTTTGGCTATAAAACCATGGATGATTTGATCCATATGATTTAAATGTGCCATCGAGTTAGTATTCTTAGACATGAGCCTGATGAATGACAGTCTGTAATTATAATGTGCCACACATTACCGTGTCTTAATTGCCCTATGCCTGAATTTTAATGATCAATTTGTTATTGTTGCAGATGTGAATATTGTGCATAAACTTACTAAATTTATGTAAAATTGTATAAAATAGAATTGGAAATCACTTAAGTTCTTTCCATGTAGAAGTAATGAACTTATTGTAACATGATGTAGTCGTGTGTAAGACATTCTGTACTTCCTTGGACTGGATCATATATTCATAGCTTCTGTACATACCTTTGCATGAATATTTTCTCATTTAGTTTTTGGGTCCATTATTTGTGTTGTATTTACTACTTGTGATCATGTAGTTGTGCCTTATTTTGTGAGAGAGTTTAGCTCAGTAAATACTGTAATTTCTAACCTCAGTGATTCGGGTTATTAATTATAAATATAACTGGTAAACCACATCACAACATTTAAATCTGTATAAAGACCAATGGAAGGATCCTTGCTGGATTATTGCTTTTGTCTTTTTTTAATATGTTAAAGATGATATTAAAAAACATTTCTTTCTAATAGACGTATTCTATGACTATAAATTATTTCATCTGTTTTAAAAAAGAGAACAAGATATACAAAGCCAATCTCAGCAACTTAGTGAGGGCCTAAGCAACTTGGTGAGACCCTGTCTCTAAAAGTATTTTAAAAGGGCTGGGGATGTGGCTCAGTGGTTGAGCACCCCTGGGTTCAATCCCTAGTACCAAAATAACAAAAGAGAACAAAATATTAACCATTTTGCATCAGTTTATTTACAGACTATTAGTACTCTGCACTTGGATATATACAGTGATAATGTTTTAATGTCATTCAACTTAGGATAGTAATTAAGTTCCTGATCTCAAGAGAAATTAAATGCCATTTTGCTTGAGACATTTCCTTTTCACTCTTTTCCATGTTGTGGAGAATTAACAAAATGAAAAAAATATCAAAAATATAAAATTAATCTCCCTTTTATTGTGTGTGTAATTTTAATACCCAGGTGACCATTTAAAGATACTTTTTTGAAGACTCAATATAACTTTTTTTCCCCCTGTCTTATTCTTTATTGGAATCAAGGGACTGGAGGAATCTTGAGCGATTGCCTAGTCCTAATACATTGCTTTCCTCTTTGGGAGGTTTATAACAAAAATAGTAAAAATTCCTTGCAAGATGATCATTAATTTTTTTCCTAAAAATATTTATTTTAGCCATAAATTTCTTCATAAATCTTTTCTTGCATAAACCTATATTGTCTTCTCCTGGACATAATTGCTTTTAATCCCACCCAGATACCATCTCTTGGAACTCATTTGAAATCTGTTCTCCTTTTCTTTGCCTTGTCCTCTTCTCATTTATAAATATTAAGCTATATGAACAAGAGTTACCACTTTCCAGATATTCCTTTTATTTTCACTTATTCCTAACAAATGCCTGACACTACTATAGAGACCATGAATCTCATTCCAATAGTGCGTGGCTTTTGCACAAGAGCTTGTCTGCTGTGCTTGCTCACACTACCGTGTTTGCATGGTGACATCTGTGGCTTCTTCAAAGAATCACTGTGCATGTGACTTCTGCAAACATCATCCTCTCTATTTTGTTCTTCAGCTTTAATAAAACAGTTAAGTTTTCAGTTTTCTGGAGGCAAAATTTGATAAATGTGTTTTTCCACTTTGGAAACTGCAAAAGGCACCATGCCTGAGATGGAAGTTTGTGGACTTCCATATGATGCTATCTGACCCTAAAAACAGGTTTCCTTAAATTCAGTTAATGGTATAACCCACCATGATAATAGTTCAAGCTGATTTTTCTGATAAAAAATTTGAAAAGTTCTAAGTTCTGTTGAATAAATTGACTATACTGTATTAACATGCACACGTACACATACCACACAAATCCAGAAATTTTTTTCATACATAACCACCATTCTTCAAAAAAACAAAGATACTATTTCTATGAACGTCTTCCATATTAAAATTTTAGTTGGTGGATGTAGAAGAGAGATTTGTTTTTCTTTTTTAAAATAAAATAATGGAATTCGATCTTTGGGTTTTTTTTCCTGTCCAAGTTAGCGTAATATGAATACACCTAAGATGAGTAAACTGACCGGTAGAGAAAAGGAATTTAAAAACTGCTGTTAAAATATAGAACTTATATATTTCTGAATATATTAAAAGGGCAAACTTTGTATCAAAAATTATCATTGTGCTTGAGGTAAGACTCTGAAGCAGTAAGACTCACTCACAAGCGATATAGGAAAATTGGTTTCATTACTTAATAGATAAATAAAATGCCAGAATTCATACTGGACACAAGCAGTGGACCTTGCTTTCTTTCTGATATTCCATTTATCTGACCATTCATTCTTTATCAATTTCAATAGCACCATTCTTCACTCATGCTTCCTACAAATCTGACTTAAATATTAGAAGATAGTCTGAATATCAATATGTTGCTGTTAAGAAGTTCCTCAGAGTTCAAATTTCTTGCAGTCATTATTCCTCTATACTAAGGACTTTCCTAGCTCAAATTTTCAAATCTTGGAACACCTTTAGAATGAATGCACATTTCCTTCTACTTCATTACTAGGTTAAGTGTTACCAAAAGATTGAATGAAAGAATACTTAAAGCCCTAAACTCTAATAAAGTTTGCCACTTGTTTAGGTCCCTAAATTTCAGAGGATTCTGCAGATAGTTTGATTAATGCTATTTTCTTGGTTTCCTGACTCTTGGTGAAGCAAGAGATAGCTGCTGTTATTTGTGTCATCCATGTTTTCTGTGAAAAAAGAAAAACACACCTAGATTAGAATGCTAAACAGATCGTTTCTCACCATGTGTGGATTCGTATTTTCCATTATATTTATTGGCTTGATTTTTAAAACTGAAGACTAACAAAACATTTGCATACGTTTTTCATTTTCTTTCTTACCTCTAAATACCTCTAATCATATAGAAAAATGCAAATGGCTTAAATGAATATGGTGTGCAAGTTGGATAAATAGTCATGAGTAATCAAGGAACCATAATTGTCAATGATGACTAATTAGAAAAATGAGTACTGAGAATAAAAATAGTTTGGAAGTTGATTTTCTTGACTTCCCATTAAGAAACTGAGGTTCTTAACCAGTGGTATAATTTGAAAACCAGACTCTAAGGGAGCTAAATCCAGAAAATTGAGTTCTTTAAGAATAAAGAAATGTTGCATTTATGGTCTGGCCACATTGTTGTTTTAATGGAAGTCTACCAGGGGAAAGACAAGAGTAGGAACTTAGAAAGAAGCCAAAGTAAGGCAGTTTCTCTTTCAACTCATAGCTATAAAAACAATAGCACATTTTCAAAGGTTGAAGAATGAACTTGACATAGCTAATTATTGCATTGGGCCCTCACTTAAGCTGACATCACATTGTTTGCACTTTGGAAATTGTTTGGAGCATCTTAAAAGTTAATAATGTGGCCGGGGGCAGAGGCGCACGCCTGTAATCCCAGCAGCTTGGAAGGCTGAAGGATTGCGAGTTCAAAGCCAGCCTCAGCAACAGCGAGGCCCTAAGCAACTCAGTGAGACCCTGTCTCCAAATAAAATACAAAAAAAGGCTGGGGATGTGATTGAGTGACCCTGAGTTCAATTCCTGGTACCCTGCTGCCAAAAGTTAACGCAATGTGAAGCAATCCTTCCCCCATTTCCTAAAGAAAGTGCAGAACTCAGAGTCATCTATTGACTTTGCAGCAGAGAAAGCAAGAGGCTTTGTCAGCTCTGCCCTTCCCATGTGAGCAAAGTGTCAATGCTGAGGTTTCTGAGCATAAGGACTAGATGTCTCCCTTCCCTCCTCCCAAAACTGTCTTCCCAAAGCAGGGGAAAGAATTTCTTTTTTCTTTTTTTTTAAAATTAATTAATTAATTTTTTATTAGTTGCTAAAAATATTACAATAATCTTGACATCGTATATCATACATTTGATTCAAATGGGGTATGAATTCTTATTTTTCCATGTGTACAGACTGCAGGATCACATTGGTTATACAGCCACTTTTATACATTCTGCCATACTAGTGTCTGTTGTATTCTGCTGCCCTTCCTATCCTCTTCCTACCCCCCCTCACCTCCCCTCCCATCCCCTCTCTCTACCCCATCTACTGTAACACATTTCTCTCTTTTTTTTTTCCTTTCCCCTCACACCATCTTATATGTAATTTTGTATAACAATGAGGGTCAGGGAGGAAGAGCATGAGAAGAAGACTACCATTAAACAGGGACGAGAGGTGGGAGGGAATGGGAGAGAGGAGGGGAATTGCACGGAAGATGGAAAGGGAAGGAATTTCTAATTCACCTCTACTTAGGAGGCTTGAAGGTTTTGCCTTATGTAAACTCTGAAGAAGCAAAAACACACACAGTTAAAATACATACTTTGATGTCTTCTGTTTGGGCTTGTAATAAGAATGCTGCTATACACTGTCGATATCTGTTTTCATGTTGTATAAGGAAAGCATTTCTCAGCCCAAAGACTAGAAAGAGATATTAAAAAGACAAAAAGCCAAATTATTTAATATGAAATCTGAACAGAAACCTGGAGTTTGTCTTTTACTTTGGTGTGTTTTTGCTTTAATGATGGTGCAGTTTTATTTATGTAGATTATTATGGAAAAAAATATCTGATTCCAAGGCCAAGACCCCACTATGTCCAAATAGAGCCCACTTTAATAAGAAAACCCTGTTTTCCTCAGCTAATGGCTTCTGGGAGTTGAGGAAATGCAACTATGTCTTAAGTGACAGACAACAGGCTGCCCATAGAAGCTGAGAACAGTTAAGCAGGTTGTGTGTATGTAAAGGTGTAGATAATAAAAATATGAAAAACAATAGATATTTTTTGTCCCCGTCCCTCCTTTTTAAATGTTCGTTTTTGTATTTAAAGGGAAGTCACATCAAAACAAAGCTTACAATCAAATTAAGATGGGACAAAAATGCAAAATACCTGAATGTTTCCCAACAGACCAAGAAAAGACAAAAAAAAAAAAAAAAAAAAACCTGTTTCAAATGATGCAATATCCACCAAATTACATGAAATGTGAAATGGAACAAAAAGGAATGCATAGTTTCTGTGTTTGCAAAAGAAACTGTCCTGTCATTTTCTGTCTTAAAAAAAAAAAAGACAGGAGGTACTGGAAGAGCACTTTCCTTTTTTTAACAGCAGGGACTCTGAAAATGGAAGGCTCTTCTTGAATTATTAATAATACAACATAGGGAGTAGAATTCTGCAGCTTATACATTCTTTCTACAGTTGTTAGTGTTCAGAAACAAACCAAAAACCAAAAAAAAAAAAAGAAAAATTCAAGTCAGGGCTGTCTCCTGGCCACATCAAGTACTTCAGGAAGAAGAAAGAGCAAGTGACATTTATTCCTGACACTCCTTCAGTGTCATTGTTACTTGCTGAAGTTTTTGAGTTTAAGTCAGATTGATCTGAGGCAGATGGGGCTTCATTTCAGATTCAAAGTGACGCAGACTTGTTTTCTTAACTGCAAGAACCATTTCAGTATCACAGGTTATTCTCATAATAGTCCACAAAAAAATTCATAATTTCTAAATTCTGTAGGAAAGTCTGCTAAGTCAGGTCATAGAAGCTTGCCCAGTTTCTCTGGAATAAGAACACTTATATCTAGTAAAAAGGCTTTCTGGAAAAAAGAACTGGCTGTGTTTGTTTTACTCCCTGATTTTTCTTCTTATAAATTCCCTGTAGCAAGTGAGCCCTTAAGAGATTATACTGTTGCTCTTGGCTGGCGTTTGGAATCTGTTTTCCTCAAAAATTTTAACTGCTTGGAACTCATCAGTTTGGATTATAATACGGGGATAAGGGTCCTGGCTAGGCCTGTGAAGTACAAAAAGATATGAGTGGGAATAACTTCTTTTCCGAGCATATTAATACAAAGCCTAATAACATTGTTTAGGCCCCATATTAGGTTCTCCACCCCATCTGTTTTGTGTCATTTAAACCCCACAACAACTACATAAGATTAGGACAACTCGTTCCCACTTCAAAAAAATGAGGAAGCAAGAAGCTGATGCAAATCAATTTTTCTCAGTTCTCAAAGCTGTGTGTGGTGTCCCTGCAGTTTGGAGTTAGTCACCCACTCCAGTGCCCAGTCTCTTTCTCTTGTACCCACTTATCTTTCCCACTCTAGCTCATAAACTATATTTCAACAGTCAAAACAATAGACCCAGAAGAACAACAAAAACATAAAAAAAGAAAGCAAGACATACTAGTTAAACAAATTAGAAAATAAAACAGGTGGAAGTATAGTTTTTTAAAAAAAAGATATTTACTTTCATTTATTTTTAGAAAAGTTTCAGAGAATGAAAACCACGTATCTTCCAACATAATCTAGTGATGTCAGAGTTCCCATAAAGTTTAGTTCTTAAATCTGGCATGTCCCTGACTTAGCTGATCCCTCTGCTAAACTGCTTCCACTTTCTTGAAGGGAGTTAGTACATCTTCCTCCATGTAAGATGCCAGAATCTTACATAGCCACTGGAGTAAGAGAATAAACTAGCACAGAGGCCCTCTGTGATATTGTTTCCCTTGTGAAAAAAATAAACAGGCAGAAGATGGAAGTGGTTTCTGGCCCTACATGCTGAATCCCTGCCTCACCTGCACGACTTGGTCATTCCTTAAGCAGGGAGGAGGCTCACACTGGAGGCAGACTTTGCCTGTGTCAGGCAAAATCCTCCTTTGGGGGAGGCTCTTAAGCTACTGTGGCTTATTCAAAATTGGCTTATGCTGTGTTTGGATGTCCAATGTCTCCCCAAGTCCCATGTGTTAAAGGCTTGGTCCTCAGGACTGTGGTTCTAGTGGGAGGTGGTTGAACCTTTAGGAGGTGGGCTTGGTAGGAGCCTTTTAAGTCACTAGGGTGTGTCCTCAAAGAAGATCATGGGACCCTTATCTTATTCTCTGCTTTTGACTTGAGGTGGGTCGTGTGCTCTGCCATGTGTTCCCATCACAAGCTTAAAGCAATGGGGCTCACTAATCACAGGCTGGCCTCTCCGAAACTGTGAGTCAAAATATGTCCTTTCTCTTTTATTTCAGTGGTGGTGGGATGATACTGGAGATTGAACTCAGGGTACTTGATCACTGAGCCACATCCCCAGCCTTATTTTGTATTTTATTTAGAGACAGGGCCTCACTGAGTTGCTTAGCGCCTTGCTTTTGCTAAGGCTGGGTTTGAACTCACGATCCTTGTGTCTCAGCCTCCCAAGCCACTGGGATTACAGGCATGTGCCACCGCGCCCAGATGTCCTTTCTCTTTATAAGTCAGGTATTCTGGGAATTTTGTTATAGTGATAAAAAGCTGACTAATACAGCCTATATAGACCATGATTTGTTCCATCAAAATTAAACATAAAAGGCCTTCTGACTTGCCCATGTCACCTTTCTTTTTCTTAATATTTATTTTTTAGTTTCAGGTGGACACAATATCTTTATTTTACATTTATGTGGTGGTGAGGATCAAACTCAGTGCCTTGTGCATGCTAGGCGAGCACTCTACCACTGAGCCACAACCCCAGCACCCAATGCCACCTTTCAACAAATCTTTTTGAAAGCAAAAATATAGGGGATAGAAGCTCTGTTTCTGGGTCCAAGCTTCCCTTGGAAGAGCCCTTTTGCTCCTGGGGAGAGAGAGAGAGATATTGCGTCCATTCATAAGTTAGTATGTGGAAATTAGTTAAATATATTTAAATAACATAACTACATCAATGTTGGCTATTCATTCATTCATCCATCCATCCATTCATTCATTCCCTATAAGGCTGTTCTACTATGTATGGGTTGGTCCTATGTTAGCCACTGAGCTAGGACTGGGGAAATTGCTTCCTGCTACTCCCATGGGACAGGAAGGTAGTCCTTACCTGCCTGGCCTCAGCTGGTATAGGAGCCTCCACCTGAGGCAGAGTAGCCATTTGCTTCCTTTTGAACATGCCACCACCTAACCAGCCTGGAGGAGACAAAATGTCCTTCCAGTCCCTCAGGGTCCTGGGGCTTTCATGACAGATTTAGAGATCTTTCATTTTTCTGAGAGATCTTCAAGCTCATTGTGTCTCCAGAACCTGCTGAGTGGGTTGCTCTCAGGTAACACTCAGGAAATGCTTGAACAAATGTTTAAGAAGGATAAATTTCTTATGTATGATATGCATGTGTGTGTGTACATGTGTGTATACATGCCCAATTACCTCCTGACCAAGAAGCAAATATATATAGAAATTTATGTATACATTTATATATGTACATGTATTAGGTATTTCTTTCTGATAAAGTATAGCTTATTTAATTAGAATCTCACTCTTGTGGTCAAACGTGGTGGAGTTACACTGGTCATGTATTCATATATGAACATAGGAAAGTTGTGTCCAGTTCATTCTACTGTCTTTCCTATTCTTATGCCCCATCTTCCCTTCATTCCACTTTGACATTTCTTTTTATAGAGTGTTTGTAGTAACATGTCTTACACTTTCATAACATGTCATGGTTTAGCAGTGCTTGAACAATAGCAATAACAGCATTATAATGATGATAGGATAGCAATACTAATAATAGCTATCATTTTTAGAGCATTACATGCATTATTTTATTTAATGCTCATGCAAACCCATGGAAGTAGACATCAGTATCCCTATTTTGTCAAGAGGAACCCAAGGCTTAAGCATTTAAGATCCCACAGCGAGCAAATGACCGAGCTGGGTCATTTGAGCACTGAATACCATATCCGATTTATAAAGTGATATATACCACGTGAGATTGCAGACGTCTTCTATGAAGACTTAAACTAGATTCATGTCCAGCTATTGAAAATGTCCAATATAAAACCGTGATGGCAAGCAGTGGAGTTGCATGATGGAAACAGACACGTACCTGACACGTGGAGCGGATCAATGCTTTTGACAACCAATCTATCTAGTGGAATGGGCTGATCGAGTACTATACAGGAGCCACCCTCTTTTATTACAGTTTGCAGCTCAGGAGTAAGTGAAGGACATATCAAACCAGTGTCTGCACTCCCAAGTTTCTGAAATTAAAGAGAAAAATAAAGCATTATATGGGAAACAAATATTGGTGCACATACCTGAAGGATATCCTGATGCAAATAGATTCTTTGAAAGAAGTCTATTTTTTATTTGTTCATTTAGATATAAATATTGGGCTTCATTTTAATATAATTATACAAGCATGAATATAATTGGTTTCAATTCAGTCCCCAGTACTTCCTCCTCTCCTTCCCCAACCCGTCCTGTTTCCTCTACTCTATGGCCTTTCTTCTATTTATTTGTAGTTTTTAAAATTAGTGTATCATGGATATAACTGAAGGTAAAATTCACTGTGTTGTATTCATATATGTATATAGGAGAGTTTGGTTAGATTTATTTCTACTGTAGAAACTATTTCTCAACATCTTACTATTTTAAATGGATTCTAAAAAGCATTTCCTTGAGCATAGTGATTTAAAGCAAATATAGATGACTTCAAATTGAATCACCTAAATAAGTAACGGTTGGCATCCATAATTGGGAAACACCTTAATCACCATCACATCACTGGAATCTCTCTTTAGTGTGGAGTTAGATGAATGAAAACGGGATCTTCATGTTGGCCATGCTGTGTGTGGGCTATAGTATGAAACCATAAATAGATTCTATGTTCTAGAATTTGTAAGTAACTAAAATTGTTTCCAATATCTGATGTTGAATATTCTGAAAAAGTATAAAGGATGTGATTTGAATGTACTGTAAACAGAATAGTAGAGAAAAAGATAAACTGATAGCATTTCTTATTTTTAAATCGAGTTGTGAAGTATGAGCCCAGAATATTGCCTGAATATAACCAATATGGGGCTCCATTAACTTGTGTGCTCTGGTTTGCATCATTGAACCACTTTTTTTTTTTTTTTTGGTACTAAAGATTGAATCTAGGGGCACTTACCACTGAGTCACACCCTTATCCCTTATTTTATTTAGAGACAGAGCCTTGTTAAGTTGCTGAAGTGGGCTTTCAATTTGTGATCCCCCTACCTCAACCTCCTGAGCTGCTGGGATTATAGGCCTGTGCCACCATGCCCAGTTTTGCACCACTATTTGAAGTGAAGGTGAGCAGTGCTGGCATTAAGGTTTTTGAAGGGGGTAGAGATGTTTCAGAGTTTGATTTGCTCAGATATGCCAATCTCTGTAGCTTAAAATAGGAGGCCATACAAATTCTGAAACACTGATTGTCAGTGTTCTCCCACACCCACTCCCTCCCTAGCTAACCATCAGCTATTCATAGATTGATTAATGGGTATCTATTTTATTGCTTTAAGATCTTTGAATTATTTAGCTCAACTGACCAACCTGTCATCAAAAAGCTTGGTTCATTAAAATATGTGAGATGCTTACTCTCTTGATATTATCTGTATGAGGCAAGTCATTTGGTAAAGAAGCAAGAGAAATAACACATTAGACCCCCCTCTGAGGGCAGGTGTCTGAGAATCTTGGAGGAGCTGCCCTCTTGAGACCACTCACACTCACCATTCAGGGAGCAGACTATGAAACAAGGGATCAGAAAGAAAGGCTTTGGACCATCAGACCAGTAACTTAATTAATAGTGACAAACAGCAACATCAGTGATAATAATGGTAACAGTAATACTTAAGAAATATGAGAAATCCCTACTCTTTATAGCCCCTAGGTGACTCATTTTTTTTTCTATAACACCAGCTGTACATATTTGGCCTCTGCAGTTCTTATTCAGGTAGACACTGAAAGATCACAGCTCTTTCTAATGTCTATCTTCCCAAACATCATTTCTCAAGAATAATGTGAGCTTTCAAATCAGAATGATTTGTGGTGGATACTATTTTGCCACATGGCCACACACAGGTGGAGGGTCCCCACACTGGCAGCTCCAAGGTGGCCAATTTGTAAGTGCCAACGTAGACAAAGAAATTTTGGGATTCCTGAGCTTAGTCAGGTCAGGCCCCATGGTTTCTGTGTACCTTGAGGGTATACGGACTAAGTTGTTCTAAAATGGGTATCTCCCTTAACAAACTTGAGAAATGCAATTTGCTTATTACTTTTATAATTTTTTAGAAGGAAAGATCCAATTGAATGTATAAGAATATTGCATGGTTTGAACAGAGCCTATTTGAAATATTTTTTTATCTAATTTAGAAACGTATTTAGAAATAGTTTTACCTTTTTGCTGCGTTTAGTTTTTGTAATTAAGAGGAAATCATCAAAGAGGAACAGATACACATCTAGGAATCTTGTGCTTTCTGAGAAAAGAAAGAGAAGGTTAAAATGGGGACTTGAAATAGTAGGTAGAATTCTTTTTTTTTTTCTTTTTAAATCAAAGAATCTCTTAGAAAACAAAACAGGGGTGGCTTGTCACTCAGGGAGATCCCATCAAGTGAATCAGAAAACTGTCTTCCTCAGTGTTGAATTGATTTCTTCCTAAGACCTGATTAGAGCTCAAGCTTTCAACTTTAAGGACATTGTATTTGTGATGCATTTCAAGAAAATCTAAGGTAACTCATGATATCCTCTATGGTTTCAACTAAGCCCAGTACAAATCCATTAGGAAATTGAACTTGCTGCATTTTTCCATCTTAACTCATCTATTGGGGTGGTCATTGGCCAAGACCCATGTTTACTCAGAAAAAAAAAGATATTTTGTCATTGTTATGGACTGAACTGGGACCCCCTACCCCAATTCATACATTGAAGCCCTAACCCCAATGTGATTGTATATGGAGTAAGGAAGTAATTAAGGTAAAATAGGTCATGAGGATAACCCAATAGGATTAGTGTCCTCTCTCTCTGCCATATGAGGACACAATAAGAAGGAGGACATCCACAGGCCAGGAAGAGAGCCTGCCCAGGAACCACCAGGAACACAATGGGCTAGTGCCTCCATTGGAGACTTCTGCCTCCAGTGTATGAGAAATGCTTTCTGTTGCCACCTGGTCTATAGAATTTTGTTTGGATGCTCTGTTTGACTAAAACAGTCATTAAACTACTTATTTCCCATGTTTCACAATGTGTCTATGTAATTAAATATTATCCACATAGTTTTAAGATTATAAACTTTTCTGATAACTGAGCCAGGGGACAAAAAGGCAGTCAGTGTAGGTGGTGAATGATTGGGCTAGAAAGATGGGGGCTGATTCAGGAGGAAATGAAATATTAACACCTTCAGGACACTTCCCCCTCCTCTACCGGTTGCCAAGGTGACCCGCCTCCAGGGGACTGTTCCTGCCTATAAGGAGTTGTTAATGAATGAATGCCTCCTGGGCTGCTGGCTTCCTTTCCCCACACAGGATCCCTCCACCTGTGGCCCACCTTTAGGGTCGCTAGTCATGTAGCAGGAGAGCAGAAGGAGAGAGACAGGATGGGGGAGAAGACAGCATGAGAACAAAGGAAATCTAAAATGTATAAAAGGGGCAGAACACCCCCCCCCCCACTTCCTCAGACACCCAGCTCCAGGGAACCTTCTCTGCAGAGAAGTCTGTCTCTGTTCTATCCTTTAAATAAAACTTGCATCACCATTTCTTGGGTGTTCAACTTCAACATCAGGGGAAACAGAACTGATTGATTATCATCATTGACATCAATACCACTTTTGATAAGTTATTTAAGGCAAATAGGCTTTTCTACTTTTCCCTAAGAAAGAAATAGTAGGGAAGAGAAATCAAATATTAGAATAAAGTATCTCTTTCTTCATTTTACTCTATTCATTAGAAATTAGAAAAATAAATGGTTAAATTTAGGTGATTTCAGAGGAAAAGACAGTGTTTGGAAGGAATGTGACAGATTCTTAGAGGAAATCAAGTAATTCTTTTTATTATTTTTTTAGTTGTAGATGAACAAAATACCTTTATTTTATTCATTTATTTTTATGTGGTGCTGAGGATTGAACCCAGTGCCTCACACATGCTAGACAAGAGCTCTACCACTGAGCCACAACCCAGCCCAAGTGATTATTTTTGTTTGTTCTACTTATTTTATTCATTTGTATTAATCTGCTTTCACTCCTAGAAAATAGGTGGCAATGACCAAAAAATGAATAGATAAAGTATTTAGGATTCATTTCTACTTTCTTCTCTTGTATTAAGATTAGAGGAAAGATCCTTCTATGTTTGTATAGAAGAGAAATCAGAAAGCATATTCAATTATCCTTGCATGTTTTTAAAGATTGCCTCACAAACAGTGTTTTCCTTTTCATAAATCAGGCTATGCAAAGACTGCTGTTTGTCCCTCAAAAACCTTCTCCCCTTCTCTTGTGATAATGAACTTCCTAAGTTTTAGTGGGTACACATCCACAGAGAATAAATAGTATATCTCCTGTTTTCCCTTATAGCTGGATATGACCAAGGAACTAAATTCTGAGTCACATTGCCAATTATGAGTCATCCCGGGAGGGTGGGCCGAGTCCTTTCACGGGCCCCCTCCTCCTCACTTGGTGGAATACAGACACGTTGGTGGGTCATCTTGGGACACACAGAAGAAAGCAATGTCTAAGAGATAGCAATAACACAGAGGTAGTTGGGTCCCTAAACATTTCGTGGAGTGGAGCAGTCGGATAGTTTGGGATTGAACATGAGAGAGGAATAATCTTTTAAAATGATTGATATCTCTCCAGTGGCACAGAGGGCTAGGAATGGGATGTCCGGACTGTATTAGATCTTCCATCTTGGTCAACTCAGGCTGCTGTAATAAAATATCATAAGCTAGGTGCCTTAAACCAAACAAATTTATTTCCCACAATTCAGGAGGCTGAGAAATCCAAGCTCAAAGTACTGGCCGATTTAACTCCCAGCGAAGGCTCTCTTCCCTCTTGCAGATGGCTGCCTTCCAATATGTCCTCTGTGGCAAAGGAGGAGAACAAGCTCTCTTGTGTCCTGCTGTGAGGGCACATAACCAATTAGATCAGGGCTCCACTCTTGTGCCTCATTTTATCTTAATTACTTCCCATACACTTACACCAGGGGTTAGGGCCTCAGTATACGGACTGTGTGTGCACAGCAGGGAGGGGGTGTGATTCAGTCCATAGCAACCCGTAAGACCTGTTTATTTGTTTTCCTCACCTTCTGCTGCTCTCACATGAATTAGCTTGATGAGCACTGTTAAAATGAAATAGTTTTGTGTTTTCTTCTTAATTTCAAATACTTCATATGAACAAATGGGTAACAAAGACCTTCTATGTCCTAGACTTTATTGTAGGAAATTTTGATTGTTTTAGAACAGTTTATGGAGCCCCCCATGTTCCACCAAGTAGCCAACAAACTTGGAACATCTATTATGCATCTGTCATTTAGACACTGTCCTGCCTTCAGGGAGCTTTAGTTCTAGGGGAGCCAATTCGTAGTAAACCTGCAAACAAGGTCTAAAATAAGATAGATGTATCTAGAAACGATTATTGCTAGGGAGAAAAATATGATCATTTCTGAAAGTGAAGGACTGAGGAGGAAGATGGTAAGTCCCAAATCAGTTCACATGTATTATTCCAGTAGTTTAAGGCTATTGAAGCCCAGTGATAACTTTCACTGAGAGTCATTTCTCTTGGGTAATGAACACGGTGAGTTGGGAATTAGAATCATGTAATTGCTATGCAACCTGACCTGAGACTTACACATTTTTGCAATGGTGTGTCAACCTGGTCTTTATTGTCTTCATAGATTCTGAACTGTGGTGGAGCACGGAGCAGCACTACCGCCTTACTTCTGTTCTGCGGCAGTGTGAACAGCACCTGCACTTCGGGTGTTACAGCTGTGGGGCAGACAGAGTCTACCCTTCACTGACTGTTTTATTTAGAGCTGCCAGTCAGAGGGGAGCAATACATTTGGGAAGGAAGCACACAGCCTGAATGCCAATGGCAATTATAGTTAGGCTCCGAAAGTTATGAAAACGAGTACCTTCTGGCAATAAAAAAGGAACATACTTATTTGGTCATCGTAGTACAGTTTTGAAGACTTGGAAGAAATTTGGAAACACAACCTATGTGTCAGGTTTCATTACCATCATTGTCATTGTCATCATCATTATTAACATTTAGAGGAGGTTAAGGAAATTTAATCAGTTTTCCCAGAGCCATAGTTGGTGCTGGATCCCCTGATTTTTTTCTTTCTCTTTTTTTAAATCGCTGCTAGGATTGAGCACAGGGCCTTGTGCATGGCAAACTTGAGCTCTACCACTGACCTACTTCCCCAGAACCTCTGCTGATTCTTGGCTCAGTACTTTTCCCATCCAAAAACAATGTCCAATTTCTTCTAGTGCTATTATCCCTGCCCCATCAAATCCCTGTTCAACTCTAAGGCAGAGTTCCACTGACTTGAAACTTGATTCCCTGTTATATACTCTATGGGGTCTCCTCTGCTGGAATTTTCCTAACCCAGATTCTACCATCAATCAATGTCCTGGTATTAGTAATGTTATGTAGCTCATCCCCATTCTACCACAGGTGATTCTATATGAAGAATTTTCTAGAAAAGGTGGGTCTATGTGTAAAGTACTGGCCAAGTCTTAGGTGAATCTCCACCTGGGCTTCCATGACAGTACATGACAGGAGATGTTCGGTCAGCTTGCCTTTGATTTCCCATCATGCCCGCACCTGAACCTTACATTGACTCCCTGACCACTCCCTCCATCAATACAGATTATAATATTTGAAGGCATCTGTGGCCTATTTCCTCTTCATCCACAATATCAATCATAAAGTCTTTCTGTTCTGCCTCTGAAATGCTTCTTGCATTTATCCTTTGCTATCATGTTCATTTCCTACACAGGCCAGTACCTCTCACACTGGTGGGAGGTTGGGAGGTAGAGGGAAGGGGAAACAAAATCTCTGATAACTTTAGGTGGAGGCCAGTTTTGGAGGGAGAGGCATATGTTTTTGGAGCAGGAAACAATAAATTTCTTGCTTCATTATTTTGATTTAGCCTTGTCATAATATATAATTACGTTGAAATGTTCAGTAACATTAAAGAAAAGTTGAAACTGTTGTCTTTCTACACAAAAGTGAGGGGTGGTGAATTATTGGCTAAGGATGGTTGAGTTCCACTGCCTTAGGGGATTCCTACTCTCCTTGCTTCTCCACTGAACTTCCTGCCCCGTCTTCCTGCTTTGGGATCCCTGGGCCATTTTGTGCATTGCTTCTAGAAAACTCTTTCTTCAGCACCCTTTAAGGCTTATCACATACCAAGAAGTCAATGACTAGGGCTAGGGGTACAGCTCACAGGAGAGTGCATGCTTAGCATAGGAGCATGTGAGTTCAATTCCCTGCATGTGTGTGTGCATGTGTGTGAGCATGGGTTCAATTCCCTGCATGTGTGTGTGCATGCACACACACACGTGTGCACACACACAACCAGGGCCAGGGGTGAAGTGATGATGTGATGACAGTGACTGCTGACCTTGACTGAGAACTACTCTATGCCAGACCTTGAACTTGTGAGCATGTAGACCTACCTTTTTGTTTTCACAGCAATATCATGAAATAGATAAAATTACCCCATCTTACAGAGAGTAAGTTCCATTGTGCAGTGTTCATTCAAGCTGGTTGCTCTCTGGTTCAGATCCACTGCTACCCTGGACATAGGTAAACAAATTCTCCCCATCCTTCAACCAACAGCAATGGAACAAATTATAAGGCATTAAAGACACTGGATTTTTAAACCAGTTATTTACCTGCAAGAGTTAATTTTCCTTCATAGAGAAGGTGTCTGTTGGTTGGAGACAAGATGTGTTCTGCTGTGTGGTCCTTAAAAATGTGTTTCAAACACTTGCAAAACAAGGGAGAAAAATAAAAGAGATGTTGTTAGTGATTGAAAAAGAACATGGGGCCAGGGCAATCAACTCCATCTAGAAAATTCAAGATGTTTAGAAATGCTAGTAGTCAGACTCTGGGACGGGAAAGGGTGGGAAAATATCTCTGAGGAACCCCCCCAAGAATGGCATGAGGGCATGAGCCTCCCCATGTACAATGGCACATGGGGAAGAGCTTTACCTCTTGCCAATAAAACTAGATTTATCCTTCAAGTGGACAGTGGGGGACTTTCTAAGACTATTGTATTTCCACCTGAATGTCCTACTTCCAGAAAGGGATGCAAGTCCTTAGTGATCCTTTTTTGTACCTCTGGAATGAAAAACCTTTTATCTCTATCCCAAAGTGGAGGCCATATTATAATCTCCTGTAGATGTCTGAATTTTTGGAAATTGTCAAGCCACTTCACTTTTCCTTCAAGATCTCCTGAAAGACAAGACACATCCAATGTATTTTTGAAGGCGTGACACACACCACAGCATAAATTTTAACCAATACTCACAGTAATCAGAGATACTGACTGGCCCTGGAGCAAATCACAATTTAGGTGTGCTTAATATAATCCTTGCTATTTAAATGTCTGAAAAAATCACTAATTTAAAACCAGACTTCTGCCGAGAAAGATAATACTAATAAAATCTTGGTGGTCTTTCTTACATGCCACACCATACATAGCCTATAAGTAGAGGAAGAAAAAAAAAATACTAGACCAGCAAAGACAAATATGTCTTTTTGTCCTAATCATAAAGCATACATTTACTTCAAGACAGGGATGATATTTTCTGGTAAGAATTTGATTTGCTCTTTGAAGATTTTTATTAATTTTCCAACAATATGTTGTTGCTATTGAGGACTACAAAAAATTTATTTTATTGGTTCTTCTTAGTTATACATGATAGTAGAATCCATTTTGATAAAATTATACAAGTCTAGGATACATCTTAATTCTAATTAGGACCCCATTCTTGTGGGTGGGCATGATGGTGAGGTTCACTAAGGTATTTTCATAGGTGTACATAAGAAAATTCTTAGATTTATTCTACTTTCTGTCCTCTTCCTATCCCTCCTCCCTTTATTTTGTTCCCCTTTGTCAATCTACTGAACTTCTCTTCTTCCCCTTCCTCCCCTTTATTGTGTTTGGCTTCCACATATCAGTGAAAACATTCAAACTCTGGCTTTGGGGGATTGGCTTACTTCACTTATATTCTCCAGAGCCATCCATTTAATGGCAAATGTCATGAATTCATTTTTCTTTATGGCTGAGTAATATTCCATGTGTATATAAACTGCAATTTCTTTATCCACTCATCTGTTGATGGATATCTAGGCTGGTTTACTAGCTTTGCTATTGTGAATTGTGCTTCTATAAACTATTGAGGTTTTGAAATAATGTTTGAAAACATGGGGGCAAGTTAGGGACCCATAGAATCACAATCACAAGGTTTGTGGAACCTGGAGAATTTGTCACATTTAAGGAGGACTTAAACTTAAAGGACACCCTTCTTTCCATAGTAAGAGGCCATCTCTTATTGAGATATCTCCAGTGGATTTGCTTTTATCTTCCCATCCAAATGATCCTCAATTACTTTAAAAGCTTTTAAAAAGAATTGATCTTTAATTGAATTTGTTGCTTTGTTATTTGATAAACTTAATTCCAATTCCTTAGGTTATTTTGGAATTTTCAGGAAAAAAATTGGAAAAGTGGAAAGGACAATCCCACTGCATTGCTATTTATTTTGTTTTTGAATTGGCAAAGGAACACAAATATGTTATTTTTGTACAGCTGTTAATTATCAGTTGGAAGTGTTCCCTTTTGATGCCCACCAGGAAATCTTGCACTATGGGCATGTATCATGGACTTTATTTGAATTTTAATTATACAGAGATACCTAGGTACACTTCAGTCATCACAGGGCGTGTTCAATTCCTATCCCCAGATTTCTGTTCTTCTTGTAGTTGGCATTATTTTTTTGCAATGGCCCTGGACTTCAGTGATTTTTAAAAACGATGAGTATAATAGTTTTAAAACTATCCCCCATGGATAGTTTTCCATGGGGCCGACTGCCGTTTGCTTTGTGTGGGGATTCAGCATGCATGTTAAAAATGAAGTGCCTTCAGTTATCTGGGAAGTAGAGCCCTTTCTGCCTGACCTCGCTTCTGAAACCCTTGGAGACAGAGCCACGTCCTGGGTTGACTTGGTGTTGGATTCTCATCAGTTCACCAGGATGTGACCAGACCCATTGTTTTGTGAGTGTGATTTGTAATAACCTCGGATGTGGATCCCATTTCCCAGAGTTGTGACCTCAAGTCAATGGAATTGCCTTCCGGGATGAAGCCCAGATGGTTTCCAGGAGCCCTGAGGCTCCCTGACTCTTATATTAAGCTCACATATCTCCAGGACTTACGGATTGACTTTTCCACCTTCTCCTTGATGGAGTAGATCATGATCTTCTCAGTGGAGTCCGAGCTCCGTTTCCAGATATTCTTCAGCAACAAGGGGTATCGAGTAAGCCTGTGTAGCGGGGCCACTAGCAGCTCAGGCAGGTGCAGCCGTCTGCACTGTTCATTTTGCTCACACCACTGGGGAAGGCAAAAGCAAAGGCATCAGAGTACCACCTGCCCCATCACGGCACTGAGAAGCCTGGACCCAAGAAATTCTCAGAGATCTGAAAGGAATGCCCCTGCCAGGTGGCTGGGAAAACTTACAAGCCATGGACTCACCTTTGATTTTGAAAACTCCATTATAAACTGTCTGTAGCAAGCATCCATGTACCGGTGACAGATTCAGGGCCTGACCCTGGGTTCTTAGGAGTGATCAAGAGAATTATTGCACCTTACTGACTAACAGTGTTACTTGTCGGTTAAAGAAAGGCAAGGCTCCTTCATCTGTTTTGCCTTCCTAAAACGGTGATGATGGCAAAGGTCAGCAGACCCAGCCATATCCCACTGCTCAGTTCTCCTAAATGGGGAACTGAATCAAGACTTAGATGCACAAAAAAGTCTTGCTTACATGTCTCATGGAGAGTTTGATTTTGCCCATTGGCTTCTCCTAGTCTCTGGTCCTTGAGGAGAGTTCTGGTTTCACCAGTTTGGTTCCCGTTCTTGTTGTGATGCATGATTAGGAGCATTGAGAATCAAGACTGAAGAGACAGAAAAGGGGAATGGAAGGAGCTTTGCTTGTTGGGTCAGTTCGTTGACTCTTCCTTGCTGGGAAGGATCAGGGCAGTGATCAAAAATGAAATCTGAAATCCAAGAGGCTAAGTTGAGCCACATGATTCAGAGCAAACCAGAAGGAGGAGTGAAGGATGCACCCACAGTTGTAATCTGGAGTGTCTGCAGTTGGGGTTTGGGGAAAGAGGCAGTTCTAGAGTATGCAAGCACAGGGGGAGACGGGAAAAGGAAGATGTATTGTGATGAGCTATACCCCGGAGTTCTATAAGTGATCTTTGGGAAACACAAGTAAATGGGACAATAGCTTTTGCGTTAGTTTTGTTTGTTAGCTGCTTCTTTTTCTTCCTTTCTTTTTATTTTTTGGTATCGGGGAATTGAATCCAGGGGTGCTTAACCAAGGAGCAACATCCCAGCCCTTTTTGATATTTTGTTTAGAGACAGGATCTCACTGAGTTGCTTAGGGCCTCTTTGCGTTGCTGAGGCTGGCTTTGAACTTGTGATCCTGCTGCCTCAGCCTCCGGAGATGCTGGGATCACAGGTGTGCGCCACCATGCCTGGCTGATAGCTATTTCTTTGAATGTGACACTTCCTTGAATATAAGAGCCCTGGCTTTTCTGAAGGTGACATGCTGCTTGGAGGCAGATTGCTAGCATCTATGCAGAAAGTACGTTGAGGAGTATTGTTGACGGTATATTCTCTTCCTCTTCACTTACCCACCTGCTCAGGCCCAGTCGATCCTGACTTCAAATACAAAAGGGTTATTAATATGGGCAGAATATTTGTGTTCCTTCAAAATTCCATATGTTGAAATCCCAGTGGGATGAAATCACGAGGTAATGAGGTCACCAGGGATATCAGTGCCCTTATAAAAGGGGCCTCAGACAACTCTCTAACTCTCTTCCCAACCATGGAAGAATTCAATGAGAAAGCAGGGGACTACAATTCAGAACCTGACCGTGCTGGCGCCCTGACCTCAGATTTCCAGACTCCAGGACTGTGAGGAGTAAATTTCTGTTGTTTTGAGCTCTCAGTCTCTGGTGCTGTGGGATAACCGTCCAGATCAGCTATGGCAGGGATCCTGCCCTCACATCAGTATTTTCCTGCTTTAGACTAGCCCTCATTTTCACCTTTATTCTCAGTTCCTGCCCAGGTGAACTCCTTTGCCTTCTGACTCTTCAAGGTGGTCCTCGGGTGGGTCAGGTGCACTGTAGGAGGCTCCCCCTGCTTCCCCAGAGATGTCTCTATACACAAATTTAGTTATTGCACTTCAGAGATTTAGGTACAATTCAAACTCCCACCAATCCAAAGCCCTCCCCGGATATTAACAAACTTATGGACATTAAGATTGTAATGGCTTTGTCTGGCTCTTGTTTCACCATTTCTTCTCTGAACAGCATGGGTCGATCACAGCCCCTCCGCCTTAGTCCATTTTCTGTTGCTGTGATAGAATATCCAAGATTGGGTAATTTATAAAGAAAAATTTTATTCCTTACAGTTCTGGGTGTTGGGAAGCTCAAGATCAGAAAGTCATATCTGGTGAGGACCTTCTTGTGTCTGGGGACTTTCTGCAGAGTCTCAGGGCAGTTCAGGGTACCACAGGGCGAGAGAACCAACAAGCCAGAGAGCTGGCTTTTATAACAAAGCCACTTCTTGGATAACCTACGACTCCATTAATCCATAAGTGAATTAGTCCATTCATGAGGACAGAGCACTCATGACCCAGTACTTCTTGAAAGCTTCACTGGTTCCCACCTCTTAACCTCTCTGAGTCCTCATCCAGTTCTCAATGAGTTATGGTGGGGACATTCAAGCCATGGAACCCTTGGTTGATTTCTTATGTCAGTTTTCACTGTGAAGTCCCCTCTGGCCAACCGTCTTGTGAGTATGTGTTTAATTTCACTGGAGGTTTTGGGTTGTAGAGAGGGGTTGAATACAGAGCACACAACCCCACCCCCCATGCCCCCTACATCATTTTCTTTTCCCATCTTCTTCGTTGCAAAGAGTGCGCTGTCTCTTCCCCCTCCAAATCCTCCCTTTCATCTCCTCGCCTTCTGCTTAGCAATTTGCAGTTCCATAGCTTGATCTTGTCCTTGGGTGTCTCGCTGGCCCCACTAGCTGCTTTATCAGGTGTTGCTTTGAAAAGATTCAGAGCTTCCTCACAGGAACCCGTAGAGGACACTCTTCACACCCCTGCACACACCGTGGCTCCTGAGAATGAGCATGGGCGCTGGGTGTCTGGACCCGCAGGACCCAGGATACAAGGACCACCTGCCCTTCTCTGGAGGTCACTTCCCTCTTCTGTGACATGGTGGAGAGTTTACTAAATGATCTCTGAGTCCTCATCCAGCTCCCAATGGCTGTGGTTCTCCTAGGATAGGAGGGATGGAGGAGGAAGCAGGGTCTGCAGGCAGGGAAAGGCTAGAGTGGCATCTTGTAGGAAGAAGAGGAAGGGAGGAGGGCTTGGCTTCAGTGTCTGACTTGCAGGCTGAGTGGCGGCAGCAGCATGCCAGCCATACCTCCTCTTGGGTGGCTGGAGAGTTTCAGTAGCTGATTTCTCAGCAGCAGTTAGGGATTCCCTCAAAATACACAGCCCTGGGCCACTGCCCCAAACTGCCATGCTCTGAGGAGCAGCACCGACCCCCGGCACTCATGGTAGTCAGGGTGAACTGGAAATCGCCAACCTCCACGAGGTATCAACTAGGCAAGAGGCATTAGTGATAAGTAACTCAGAGAAAGATCCAGAAGAGATATCAGAAGGCTTTAGTGTTTGGGGAAGCCTCAGAAGAGAGAAAAAAAAATGTTGGTTGAAAATTAGAAAAGGAAAGCTCTAAGTTTTTCTTTCATCTCTCTATTTTGGCTTTATTTTTTCATGTCCTTTAGGGAAATCAAAGAACATAGAGATATTGGACATAAAAGGCTTTTTCATTAATGGATCTAGATCAATGGAAGCTACTTTTTATAAAATAATACATACCTGATGTGTTTAGAGGACAAATGGAAGGAGTTAAAGGGGCACAAATAATAAATCTGTCTCGGTGGGACTGTTATGATTTAGATGTGGTGTCCCCAGAAGCTCACATGTGAGACAATGCAAGAAGGTTTGGAGGAGAAATGATTGGGTTCTCACCTTAACCTAATCAATGAATTAATTCCTGATAGGATTAACTAGGTGTTAGCTGGAGGCAGGTGGGGTGTGGCTGGAGGAAGTGGTTCATTGGGGGCGTGGCTCTGGGCTATATATTTGTATCTGGAGAGTGGAGTCTCTCTGTGCTTACTGATCATCATGTGAGCCTCTTCCCTTGGCCACATTCTACTGCCATGATGTTCTGCCTCACCTCCCAGTGTATTCACAGACCCAAGGAATGGAGCCTGCTGTCTATGGATTGAGACCTCTGAAACTGTGAGCCCTCATATAAATCTTTCCTCCTCTATAATTGTTCTAGTCAGGTCCTTTAGTCACAGCAGTGAGAAAGCTGACTAAAGCAGGGATGCAGCATTGGGCTGGGACAGTCAATATCCTTAGAACCTCGGGACGTTTATGTATCCTCTTCAAAACTCATCTGCCAATGATAGTAAGCACCTCATGGAGTTGGTGAGAGGTTTTAATGAGCTGATCCACACAAAAAAACATCGAACCATTCCTGGAACATCCTGAAGTTCTAGAGTTCCAGACCCCCTGAGTTCTAGAGTTCTTAGCTGTTGTTAGCGATTGTTATTCTTAACTATTGTTAATTGAGCTACACTAGCAGACCTGGCCCAGAGTCCCACTCTATTCTGCTGCATCATACTAACTGGTTCCAAAATAGTGGGAAGAATTCTACTCCCATCGACGAGCACCAAGATAATGTATGTAATGTACATAACATTCATAAAGCCCAGCCTCGTGTGGGACAGAGGGTATATAGTTCCCAGTGCATTCACATAGTCCAATTTTAGGCCATCATGCAACATAAATTTAAATTCTCTAAGGAAGCTGTTTATATCAGGGAATAGTGAGAAGATGAAGGTCAGCTTCAGACAGGTCTGATTGAGAGTCTTCTTTGTGCCCCAGAACAACATATCTTATAGCAACTTGCCTGATCTGCTCAAGCTCCTGAAAATGGGAATAATATCAAATTCCACTGAGTTATTGTCAGATAAAGAGGTCTCAGATGTCTGGTACAGAGCACGGTGCAAGGACTTAATGCTGGCCACTCTTCGAGTGTGAAGGATGCTTTTGTTCTGTGCTATGGGGCTGTGGAAGGCAGATTCCCCTCCAGCTCCTTCAGAGTCTCTCCCAGGCCCCATATCTTTATTTCATGAGGCTAACGCTTCCCCGAGGAGTTGGAAACAGTGCTAGTGTAAACAGTGTTGAATTTTTTAGAAATTAGATTGAATTTATTTTAGCTGATATGTAGAAATTTTAAAGAATTATTCAAACTATGGATTTCCATGTGATGCTGTGTTGCATGCATCCATTGCATAATGTTTAAGTCAGGTTCCATGTATCTTTCTTTGCCTAAAGACCTTTACATGGTTCTTCACGTGCTGTCTATTGGCTCTGAAAATGGTGTGTAACCTCTCTGAGCCTCAGGGAGTCATGAACAATGCATCAACATCATAGGTTTGTGCTAAGAACTAGAAAAGTCCCTCGTAAAGCATTCCTCAATATAAAAGCTTCACGTGTTATCCTAACAGCATGGTGTTCTTTGCCCCCTTCCCTCAATATCTCTGGATGCTCTTTGTGTTCCACAGACTCATGTAAACCACCCTTCTCTGTCACAATTCATGTGGGATTTTTCCATCGTTATTTGAAAATGGTAGCTGGATGGACCTTGCTACATTAACCTCTCCCTCCAGCTTGGAAGGGAGAGAAATGACCCAATGGCTTCCAGGGAAAACATGTGCAGCATGATTATTCTACATATTTGGAAATCCAGTGAGCTTTCAGTTTTCAGTTTGAGTAACAAAGACAACACTGAAACGCTGAAGCAACAAAAATAAGCGCAACTCTCTTTGCCAAGATCATTTCCCTTTTCTTATCCTGCCACACCCAGGCTTCCTGGCACGCTGAAGCCATGGCAAAGGCCCACGGATTCAGGGCTGAGTCACTGGGAACCTCGGCTGTCTTTTCTGCCAGCCTCTTACAGCTGCAGGGGAAGGAGGGTTTTCTGGAAGGGCTTGGACCATTTTCTCTGAATCACTACTGAACAGGTACAATTCAGGTTACAGAAATAACAAAGGAAGGGTCAAAGGGTTGGGGAGAGGTCCAGAAAAACTGGTTCCTGGTTTACTTATTAGCAAATGCTGAAGACCTAAAGACCCCCCCCCCCCCCCCCCCCACACACAAGAAAGTCTTTCTTGTAATGTTTTTGGGACCCAGAGATACCATATTGCACAATTCCAGAAGCAACACTTAGATTGTGCTCTGTGAGCTACTCTGGGGCGGGGAGGGGGGTGGTGGTGTGTACATGTAGAACACAATGTAAATGGTACTTCTACTTTTTGTGCTATAGGGCTTTTCTGGCACCAAATCCTACAAGGGTCAAATTTTTAGTCACCAACAAAGCTTACATTCTTATTCCGGTTGTCTCCTTACAAGGTACCGATTTCTACCAATGCACAAATAAAATGTTTCAAGTGCCAGTCAAAATTTGAAAAGGTGACTCAGATGGTGTCACGCTTCCAGATGCGTACAGTTTAAAGTTCCTCAGTGTGAAGTGGAGGGTGTATTTACAAGGGAAGTAGGATTCCAGTTATAATGTGTGGTAGCTCATTTAGTTCTCTTCTTTCCCAATAAATTTGGGTATCAGAATTCCCAGTATCTTTGACACCCTAAGAGTGTTAGGGAAAATATCGAAGAAGAAGAAGAAGATAAACTGGTACTTTACTTTTAAATAAATGCTGAAGTCATCTCTCTGCCTCAGGCTCTCAAGATAAAACACAGCAGCAGAGTAATTCAGGCAATAGGTCTGGTGGCTCTGACAGAGGCTCCCTCGGAAATACTGCAAGAGGAGGAGAACCAAGGGCGGTTAGGGAGAGCACAGAGCCCTGCTGACTTCCTCCTTCCCTTCACTAGAATAGGGAAGAGCAAAGGAGACTCCATGATCCTGCAGGAGCTGTGACTGTGTGAATTAGACAGGAAATCTCCACAAGAAACATTCCTTTAAAAATTAGGGTTCTCCTGGGCTGGGGCTGGGGCTCAGTGGTAGAGCACTTGCCTAGCACATGCAAGGTGCTGGGTTCAATCCTCAGCACCACATAAAAATAAATAAATAAAATAAAGGTATTGTGTCCAAAATAAACTAAATTTTTTTAAAAAAATATGGTATTCCCATAATAATATTAATACCTCAATAAATAGTCTCTCTCCCACCCCCTTGTTTAAAGAAAATTCGAGTCAGGACTTCTTGATTTAGTTTACCCTTTGATTTCCACTCAGGCTTTGTTGAGGCCAACACAACCTGCGTGGTACCAGTGACAAATACTGCCTTTGATTTCAGTGCCCGTGAAGGTTGAGGGTAAGCTTGAGTAGGTGGTGAGTAATCAAGGCAACGACATTCACCTTTTCATCCAATGTTCTTAAAAAATGCTCATTTGTTTAATTCTCCTAGTTTCTAAAACTATAGTAACCTGGAACATCTCTCTCAAGTTCTGTATTTGAAAGTGTGTTAAAGACATTTAATAAAGAGTCTATTAATATCTCATTCTTTAGCACACTGTTTTTTTTTTTTTTTAATGAGAAGCTGGTATTTCTCCAGACTGTTTACTAAGAATTAAATTTAGAAAATCTTTGACTTTTAAGGAATTGAGAGCGCCTGAGATTTTAACTAATTCCCCAAACTTTACATTCTCTGTCTTATTTTTTATAGCTTTTAAAGTTTAAATCTGGTTTCAAAGTTGACTAAAGGATCCGCCTACTTCATACCTAACTTCCTACTTATTTTTACCTTGTGAAAACTCCCCTTTCTTCATATCTCACCTTCAGGATTATTTTCAAGGAAGTACTTCCTTCCAGTAACTGCCCCACCTTCTGCCCCAAAGTAGAAGGTTTCCTTTGTTGGATGCTTATAATAGCTATGTTTTTTTTTTTTTTTCTGCAGCATTCCTCTGAATTTGATTATATAATCATTAGTCCCATTATTGGATTAATTTCTCTTCCTTTGGACTGCAAATTCCTCAAGGCATGGAGCTTGTCTAATTTTGCATATTGTGTACAGAATATCACCCTCATACATAGCACTTACTAAGTGCTCAATAAATCTCAGTCTATGACTTTTTATATGGAGTATAAAAATTCAAATCTTGCTAAATGTCATTATATAGGAATTGGGTGAAAAAGGTCAAAGTAAAAAAAAATAGGTGGGGGGTGAGGTCAAGAAATAAGTAGCACTTGTCAAACCAGGGCTACCAATTTTTCTTTTCTCCTCATTTCACATGCAGAAATATTATCAAGGGTACTGATGGATTTGAAAGTTTATTTTGTTCCTTTCTGAGAGACTGGCACTTTTGTTACAAGAACAATTCAACCATGTAATTAGTGAACACTAAACTATTGCCATGAATATTGCTTTAAATTGAAGTCATTTAAAAAACAGACTTGGAAATGGATTTTCCATGCATGCAGATCTTTGTGTCAATAAAACCCGGAGGAGATGTGACACTGGGAAAACAAAATCTGCAAGTTATTTTTGAAAATGTTGATTGGTGCAGAAGGGGATGGTTCCTTTGTGGGAGGGTAGTGGGAAAAATTTCCCAGAAACCAAGAAAATCAAGTAGCTATGAACAACCATCCTGGGAGGTGGGTGAATTCATTGCAGGAAGCTGAGCTCTCTCCGAGGGATCTTACCTTTGCAAGCACAGAAAGGAAATCCATCAATGGTGAAGTCTCAGAAGCTTCTACGTAGACCTTGATGATGCTGAAAAGACTGTTCACAAAACCAAGGCTTGTCTAGGGCCAGAGAGAAAGAAAACAAGAGTAGGCACACACGGAGGGCTGAGGGATAAAAATTTGATGAACCTCAAATATCATTCTTACAAATGCTTCCCATTTCAAATTCACCTCCTAGCAAAATATCAAAGATTTATTTTACTCTCCTCTTAAATTATATATATATATATATATATATATATATATATATGAAAGGGGGGTAGAGAGTAAGAAGGATTTATTTTTAAAGACTTATATATATTATGGTATATATAATATTACAAGTTTTTATAAGTTTTTTTATTATACTTTTTATTATATTTATTTTTAAAGACATATATATTATAATTTTTATAAGTTTTTATTATATTTATTTTTAAAGACTTATGTATATAACATATTATATACATATTATAAGTCTTTAAAAATAAATCCTTCTTGCTATCTCTCTACCCTCCTTTTTGAAAGATACTGTTCACTTATAATATATGTGAGAAAAGGATCTTCACTTAAAAAATAAACATTTATAAAGATGATGGAGATCTTAGGAATATTTCTACTTTCTTAAATAGTCATGGAAAAATAAAAAGTGAGGGTTAAGGAATATCTACAATCTCTTGGAAAATGTTGGTGGATGTTTAGCCATCCTTATAAATCTGAACTTCTAATCATCAGATTATGTGGGGATAGAAAATGTAATCAAGCATATTTCAATTTCCATTAAGGAATACAAGACCTGTGGATGCACCATGCATGAATTTTCAAGATCATCTGGTGAATTTTAACACATCCCTACTTCCTACTTTGGCTCACCTGAGTTAACTCCTCCAGGTTTGCAAAAAGTCTCCATAGATCCACATCCAGGAGATATTCGTGAATTTGAAGATATTTTAATGTATTCAAAAAGATCTTAAAAAAATAAATGCATATTACTTTTTGTTTTTAAAATTTGAAGCATGCCCTTTTCAGAAACTTTAAATATAATCCTTCTGGGTATAACCTTACAAAACAATGTAAATATCAGTATTCCCAAGGCTGAAGAATTACCCTCCATACAAATCATGACATTTAAGCTTCACAGAACACACGGGAGACATGCTCTTCGTGCAATGTTGCTCCTCGTGTGAGTCCTGAGAACATGTCTGTGGAACATGATCAGTCCAAATGGTCTTGCTGCTTTCTGGGGCCAAGGAGTCCCAGAGGCTACCTTCTTGCCAACAGCCCTGACTGGAGAACAAAACAACTCTCCTGCTGTGCTCTCAGTTATTCTTTCCTCTGCCAAACTCCAGTGTTCTTTACTTTCACGGAATTAGAAATAGAAAATTAGTGAGTGAAAAGCTGAAAAATGGTAGAACGTTTTGAGTTGGATCAAGGTATCAAATATTCATGAAAACGTGAAGGGAGTCTGGGTTATTATTACTTGATTTGATGCTTTCACATGACAGGGGAACTAGACAGAAAGGGAAGGAAGGAGAACCACCATCCTCACAGATAAGCTGCTCTTCTACAAACTGAAGGGAGAGCAGCTAACGGGCATAGGAATACTCTGGATATAATGGATGGGCCACCTTCGAGGGGACAAAGAATTCTAAGGGTGAAAAGATGGGACAGGAGATGGCTAACCTTCTCTAGTTCCCATCCCCCAATATTTCATTAGTGCAGTGTAGAGGGTTCTTTTTTTCTGGGGGGCGGGGTGGTAGTAATAGAGATTGAACCCAGGAGAACTTAACCCCAACCCTTTTATTTTTTGTTTTGATACAGGGTCTCACTAAGTTGCTTAGGGCTTTGCTAAACTGATGAGCCTGGCTTTTAACCTGTGGTCCTCCTGCCTCAGCCTCCTGAGCTGGGATTTCAGGCATGTGCCACCATGCCTGGCCAGTGTGTGGTTTTTGAACATGGATGAGACTTGCTTGGAGGTCTTGTTAAACCAGACCTTCACCCCCAGAGTTCTTGATTTAGTAGGTCTGTGATGAATCTGAGAATATGCATCTAACAAGTTCCCAGGTGATTGGGATGTAGCTGGTCCGAAGGCCACATGTTCATTACCATTGATTTACAACTTCCCCAATCCTTATAATACTGGTATCTGGAAACCTGTCAGTGTCCAAACATTTAAAACAGTTAATTGTAAAAAAAACAAGAACTCATTATAATAGCTCAACTAGGACAATTTAAAAGAAATAGTCTTTTTGCTTTTAAAAAAGATTCATTGCTTTACAGAACATTTTTCCATTTTTAAGAAATACTGAGTTATCTAGTATATTTATTTTACCATTTGAGTTACAAATTTTCAATTCATAAGCAACTTTGGGAAACTTGTTGATTGGTTGATTGTGAAAAGGGATGTATATAGTACATATATATTTAAATACTCTGGGGCATTTGAAAATACACCTTTTTTTAAAAAAAAAAAAATTGGGGATTAAACCTGGGGGTGCTTTACCACTAATCTGTGTCCTCAACTTCTTTATTTTTTTTTTATTTTGAGACAAGGTCTTGCTAAGATGGCTGAGGCTGGTTTTGATCTTGTGATCCTCCTACTTCAGCCTCCTCCTTTGCTGGGATTATAGGTCTGCACCATGGTGCCTGATGAAAATATGCATTTTCTTAAACCAAAAATGACAGTTTGGAAAGTTGGGCAGCTTACAGTGGGATGGAAATTTTTGTGCTATTTAGTAGGATAAGGGAGGTGCGTTGCTCAGGGGTTAAAGCTCTGCCGCGATCATTTGCTGGTTACCATGGGGTTGGGGTGCCCTTCCCTGATAGCAGCCTAGTTTTTACCTTAGTATCTTCTCCTCCCCAGGGAGCACACATGCCACATCTTACTCCCAAGGGATGGGCCTGGATTACCTTAGGTCAATTAGCATCCCTTCCTTATCTAGCTAGAGTAGTGGGTTTAGTTGTGAGCACATGATCTACACTGTCCAATCAGTATGGATCTCAAGATTCAGGCCATCAATGCAAGAAGATCTCTCTCTCTACCTGCTTCCTCTTCCTCTCTATTCATGAGTTCAAGGTCAGCAGCCATTTTTGTGACTAAGAGAAGCCAGTCATGGGAGGAGGCTGATGCCACAGAAGGTGGGAATAAAAGATGAAAAGAAATGTTGTCCCTGGTTTTGAGTTCTTTGATCACCCACTCTTGAATTCTCTCCCACCTCTGAACTTCACAGGCACAGGAGCCAGTAAAATCCTGTATTATTGAAGCTAGTTCTCTGTTAGCTTTTCCTATAAGCATCCTAACCAATATGGACTCTAAGTTTCAATTTGTGGTTTAAATTTTGCTAAGTAAGGTACTTAGTGCTGTGACTGTCAATAAATCTTACTGATAAAAAAACAACTGACACTTGCACGTAGCACTTAACAGATTTCAAAGGAAACACTTTGATCACCACAATGATTTAGTGCATAGCCAGAGGTGGCATAGTCACTCCCTTTTTATAGCTTAATACAGGGATCATCAAACTATTGCCTGCAGGCTGTAAATCTGCACTGCCACCTGCTTTTGTGAAGTATGTGGTACTGTGATCCTGTCGGTCGTGAATATTCCTTGACATATTATCTGTGGCCATTTTTGCACTGTGATGGCAGAATTGAGTAGTTAAAACAAACACCATGTGGTCTGCAAAGGCTGAAATATCTACTATTTGGATTGCTCTGGTTTCAATGTGTTCCCTGAAATTCATGTGCTGGGAACTTAATCCCCAATGCAACAGTGTTCCGAGGTGGGGCCCAAGGAGAGGTCACCAGGGCTCTGCTGCCAGGAATGGATTAGTGTTGCTAACGTGGAGAAGGTTCATTATCACAAAGTTGTTATGACAGTGAGTTTCCCTCTTTATGACCTCTCTTGCCATATGACGCCTTCTGTCATTTTAAAGGCATCAAGAAAGCCCTGACCAGATGCATCTCCTCATCTTGTATCCCAACCTCCAGAAGCATGAGCCAAATAATTTAATTTCTTTTCCTTGACAGATCACCCAGTGAGATTGTGTTACAGCAACACAAAATGGGCTAAGATAAGGATCTTTACTATAAATGACTGCCAACCTCTGGTTTAGGACATGGAGGACTAGACTTTTCAGCAGTTACATGAGAGTTCAAAGGCAAATTCAGGGTTTGAACTCAGGTCTCCCAAAATAGTGCTTTTTGGCTGTGAGCGCCCAGTGCTGTGGGCAGAGGCAACCTTGGTAGTCACATGGCTTCTCTTGTCCTACAGTCTTGGAAGAAAGCTGCTCCCTTTTCTCCTTGCTCTCTGGTTCTTCTATAAGGAATCCTCTGCTCTGAGTCCCCCCATCACATCCAGAGCCCATTCACACAGAGGATATCACGATGGTACTGTGTATTCTGATGACACTGCGTTACAAGTGGATGACAGCTCTGGAAATCTGCGACTGTGCCCTGCAACTGACCAAAGCATTCACCTGGCACCGTTTGGGAGGAAGCAAGAACTCTGGGCCAGGAAGCCACCAAAGATGGGATAGGCTGCCTTGATGTAGCTGTGAAATCCTCGATTTAAGGATGTGTTAACACAGGTGAGATTTGGATAGTAGATGGGAAGCTGGGGTGATTTATTAGGTCTCCCTCAATCCTGAAAAGATGTGTTCAAGAAAAGAATGGAGAGACAACTAAGTAGTAGCTAAACAAAAATGAACAATGAAGAAAATGTTCTTCAAAATCCTGAGGAAGGGGGATAAAATCTCTTGAATCTCTTGACTTGCTTTTATTTTATTTTTTTAGCATGGAAGAGATAAGCAAATTCCCAAAGAACCAAATTAATATTTTTCATGTATTATAAAAATGAAAGGCTGTGTTACCATCTTAAGAACCAATAAATGGTCCAAGAAATAAGTGCATTCACTCGTGAAGAGTTCCCACACAGCCTCTTGCTGCTTTCCCAAGTCTGATCCATCAGGGGGGAGTTTCTGACGTGTTTCCATGACTTCGTTCCAGGTCTTATCCTGTACGTGGGGAGAAAAGAGAGAACAACACATTCCGCCCCCCGTGGTTGACCTGCCTGCCGTCTGCTTTCCTTGCAGTGTGGTAGGAATCCTGCAGGTCCCCCGTGTCCCTGTTGGCAGTGGCTCCTCAGGCTACAAACCACAGCTTCTCCCTGTGGCTGGAGAAAGCCAGTCCTCCTGACACAAAGCATGGGAGTTTAAAATGCAGAGAAATTCAAGCTGACGATGCTTGGAATGTTGCGAGAGAATTTTACAAATCCTGTATTTTATAACCTCCACGATCTGAGAAGCCTGGTTCCAGGTTCTGCTGGCAAAGCTCATTGAAATTAACTACTGAAGAATCGAGAAATGAGAATTTAAGACTCGACGAGACCTTAGAAATTGATTTATCCCAAACAACTAACTTTGCAAAGGCGGTTCTGAGACCAAGAGGGGCAAACCGTTAAAACAGGTAGAGTCATTTGTCCCTTAAGGACAGGATATGTTCTGAGAAGTGTGTTGTTGGCTGATTCTGTAGCTGTGTGAACCTCAGCATGTACTTGCACAGACTAAGGGGGTGACGATGTCACTAGGCCCTCCTGAGGAGACCCCCAGAGGTGTGGCCTGCTATTGACCAACACATCATTGGGCGGTGCTTGGCTGTCTTAATTCTTCCTTAGGGCTTCATGACCTGCCAGAGGCTCTCATTCGCATGACCTGATGGCAGATAGAGTGCTTTCCCCAGGTCTCAGTGTCCTGCCCAGCCCTGGGCTCCTCCCCTGTGCCAGCTGTACTTTGACAACTTAAAATAATGACCAAGAAAAGACAAAGGAAAAGCTGTGCCACTTTGTGAGTGATGCGCACCCTACCTTAAAGTGGCGGAACTCGTAGCCCCTGAAGTCTGTGATCTTCACAGAGGACAGGCAGTTTTCCAGCTCGGCGACCAGCTTGTGTTTGTCTTTGCTCTGCTTAAAGACGAATAGAAACAGGATTTTCAAATGTGAATTCTCAAGGACATGGTTTTGGTAGCTTCAGCATCTTCAGTTGATTCTCTGACATTTACGAGAACAACTAAACCACTAACAGACCCAGCCATGTTTAGGCATGAAGACTTCCGATGCCTTTTAAAAAAAAATTGATTTGTTATATATGACAACAGAATGCATTACAATTCATGTTGCATAGATAGAGCACAGCTTTTCATATCTCTGGTTGTACTCAAAGTATTGAGCTACATCCTTTGTGCCTTCTTACATGTACTTAGGGGTAACGATGACCATCTCATTCCACCATCTTTCTTACTCCTATTCCCTTTCTGAGCTATAGTCAGATTCCTAGGACCACGGGAGGAGCTGGTGGCAGAGGCTCATGAGAACTGTCTATTGTAAACCTCTCCTCTCACTAATGGAAAAAAAGCAAAGAATGGTCATAGAATCAACAGAGGGACCCAAGTCTAGTGCCCACCTCTGGTTGATACCTGTCCTTCACAATTTCAACACTTCTGGACTCTGGACTGTAGGACATTTGCATAAGAAAGTGCCTCTGGCCTGTCAGTTCAATCCCTCAGTTGGCATATGACTAAATAAAACTCACAGTGTGAAATGGACTTGGCTAACATGATGATTCTGTGCTAAAGAACACCAGAATAGGAAAAATGCTAGTTTCCGTAAAACAGAGCTTCCCACTTATTTCTGTTTAGTCTTTATTCTTTTTTAGTTTGTTATTTTTAGAGGTACATAACAGTAGAATGTATTTTGACATATCATACATCATGGAGTATAACTTCCCATTCTTGTGGTTTTACATCATGTGGAGTTACACTGGTCGTGTATTCAGATATGAACACAGGAAAGTAAGTATGTCCAATTCATTCTACTGTCTTTCTTATTCCTATTCCCCTCCCTTCCCTTCATTCTCTTTTGTCTAATCCAATGAACTTCTATTCTTCCCTCATCCTCACTTATTTTGAGTTAGCACGCACATTTCAGAAAGAACATTTGGCTTTTTTTTGTTTGCTTTTGGGATTGGCTTATTTCAATTAGGATGAGAGTCTACAGTTCCATCCATTTACCGGAAAATGCCATAATTTCATTCTTCTTTATGGCTGAATAATATTCCATTGTGTATATGCAGCACAATTTCTTTATCTATTCATCCATTGAAAGGCACCTAGGTTGGTTCCATAGCGTAGCTATTATTAATTGAGCTGCCATAAACATTGATGTGGCTGCATTACACAGTCGTTATTCTTGTTTTAGAAATCTGACTTTAGGGCTGGGGTTGTGGTTCAGTGGTAGAGCACTCACCTAGAACATGGGAGGCGCTGGGTTTGATCCTCAGTACACATAAAATAAATAAATAAAATAATTTTTTAATTTATAGTGTCCAACTATAAATAAAAAAAATCTGACTACAAAGATAATGTGATTATTGCAAAGAAAAATTGAAAAGCAAAAACACAATAAAAATTAAAGCTACTCATAATTCCCACCATCAGATAATCATTTTTATGATTATATTCATAATTAATTTTAAGGGGTGTCATATTTACATGTCTTTCTATAACTTTATTTTTTCTTTTTCTTTTTCATAGCTTTATATAGGTAAAATTGAAATACAGTAAAATGCACATATTTGAAGTATGTAATCTAATCAGTTTTGACACATATGTAACCAATACAATCAACATAAAGAGCATTGCCATTACTTTTTTTTAAATTTGAAATTTTGTGAACTGTTTCCTGCATGATTTATTATGTTAAAAATCAATCACCTTAGGATATATAGAACTCCCCCTTACATTATCTATTTTAAAATTAAATGGAGCACTTATAAATATCTCAGAGGTCAAGGAAAAAAGCCCAAGAGAAGTAAATAAAAAGTGCTTTGAACTAAGTGATAAAAGCTTACAATATCAGGATATGTGGGATGAAACAGTACTCAGATGAACATTTATAACTTAAAGTACTTGTATCTGAAAAAAATTAGAATCATAATCAAATTATGTAGTAGGAAGGAAAAAATAAGAGTAGGAGCCAAAATATATGAAATAGAGAAGAAATAACGCCGCTAAACTTTAATAAAGATCAAACAAGCCTAATCAAGAAAAAAGCAAGAACACAAAAATGAATATGGATGGAAAGGGAGCTATCAAAATAACCCTACAGATGCTAAAAATAGACTAAGGGAATATTACAATGGTATGCTAACATCTGTGATAGCTTACATAACACAATAAATTCTATATTAGAGAAGGACCCACGTGCTGCTGAAAAGAAAGTGTATTCGGTCATTGATGAATGAAATATTCTACACAAGTTGGGATAACTTGATTTTTAAAGGTGATCTGTTAAGAACATTTCCTTGATTCAGTATTCTATTGCAACAGCAGAAACTGCCCACATAAGCAGTTTGTGTTATCATTCAAACTAGGAAAAAAACTCTCACATAACTGTGTATAGGACTTTCTAAAGCCAACTTGGCTGCATTTCAGTGGCATGTTTATCACAAATAATTTCTTAGCTTGCTCTCTTGCCTCTGGGTGCAGGATGCTGGCAGGGATCTGAAGAATTTGGTGCAAAGGAATCAACGTTAAGGACATGAGAAGGCATGGGCTCTCTGCTGCTGTGGGGCTGAGAGGGGACCCTGGGACGGGTTCAGAGTGTGCTGAAGCCTGTGGCTGGTTTCTCAGGTGGGGTCGGAGCACAGACTGAGGAAATCTATTGTAGATTCTTTAGCCTCCACAGTAGCAAAGGAATCTTGGAGCCAGTTGGGGACCTCCTACAGAAATTGAGACATATGCCTTTTGTTGATGTCTGAAACCATAGCGACTGTGTGTTGTGGCAATAAAAAAAATCAGCAGCCAGTTGGAAAAGGCAGAAATTGAGACAATGGGAGCAGCCTTGGAGTCGTGGGGAAGTGGGCGCCAGCTCTGTTCCCTGAAGGGCATTCGCTGTGGCTTGCCATGGGTTTGACCAAACCTCCTAGTCAAAGCCTGGTGGCTATGCCAGGGAGAGGGAAGGAGAAGCTTCTTCCAGTGGACACAGTAACTTTTTAGAGTCACAGACTCTCCTAGCTCCTTGCTGCTTCTCCTGTGGCAGCCTTGGCTAGGAGAAGAGAAGCACTGGGAGAGCATTTGAGAGGATATGGAGGATGGAGAAAAGTGAGAAGCCAAGGTAGATTCTGGGTTCTCAAATTTAGTCCCTAAGAGGTAATTGGGATGCGAACTTGCAGTAGACACTGGTGACAGGGAACTAGAGGGAAATTGAAGGTTAAGACAGAGTATTTACACTTTAGAATAGTTTGCAAAGAGTGACATTGATTCAGTGAGGACAGACAAGACCTTTAATAGTTCTGATGACAGAAAGGAGGAAGGAATGAGTGTTCAGGTCTGGTGATGGAGACCCCCCACCGTTAGAGGAGTGGTATGATGTCAGGGATAAAACAGACTGAGAGCCAGACTGCCTGAGATGGCTAGAGACAAATCCCTGTTTGGGGGTATAAGCTGAATGACCTCAGGCAAATTATTCAACCTCTCTGAACCTGTTTCCCCACTTGTGAAAAGGGGGTAAGAATGTTATCTACCTTGTTGGATTGTTGTGAGAATCTGAGTGCATGTATGTAAAACAAGACATGAACAGACAAGGATATATGTAAATAGAAACAGTGCCTGGTGGCCTGGTAATATGGTAGCATTACTTTAGCTTTATTACTAATATTTTTTATTGATAGGAAGAAAGGAAGGAGGGAAGACAGGCAGGTAAGAAAAGAAAAATCTGTAAAAGAAGTGTGCAACATTGATGTGGATTATCCTTTATTAGGATATGAATCACTTGATAAGGCTCAGAGGATGAAGGAAGGAAAGAGACGTATTGATTTTAAGGGAAACAGATATTGTGTCCATATGGAAATGGGGCTTTTTGAGCAATGAACTTTCCTTCATTGCTGAGAACCTTTATCAAAGACACTTTGTCATTTCACAAGTCAGCCCTCCGTTTCCACAGGTTCCACATTCATGGATTCAGCTAATCACTGACCAAAAATATTCAAAGAACAATCGTGTCTGTACCGAACACGTGCAGACTTTTTCTGGTCATTATTCCCTGAATGATGCAGAATAGCAAATATCTACATAGCACTTGCAAGTATTGGGTATTATAAGTAATAGAGATGATTTAAAGTGTACAGGAAGATGTGCTTAGGTTATACGCAAATACCATGCCATTTCATGTAAGGGACCTGAGTCTTCTTTTTTAGTGTCTCTCCATCACTGCCCCCGCACCCCAGAATGCAAACCATTTAGCATCCTCAATTTACATATCAGGCCTGACCTTTTCAACTGGCATCTTAGATGTCTATGGCCCAGGACTTAGCACATAACAGTCACCCAATACACATAGGGACATGCTGCTCCCTTATGGGGAAAGAAGGGCCTGATCTCAACAGCTTTAGGACATCCTGCCTGTGGCCAAGGTCTTTGCTTCTGAAGGAACATGTCTCCTGGAGCTTCCTTGACCTTGAGGTACCCTCAGGAGGGCCAAGGGGAAGTGACCCCCTTCTGGGACCTCAGACCTTACTAGTGACCAGCCCTGCCTCTGTTCACACAAGTAAGGTGCTCAGGAGAGGCCGCCCTGTCTCAGACCTACCAGGAAATGGAGCACACCCCTGAGTGGCTGAAGACAACAGCCTCAGTGACAAGGGTGTCACCCCATTATCAACAGGTTATGATTTGCAAATCGCAATATTCAGATCACATTTTGTATGAACTTTTTTATTTCTGAAAAACAATCATGTGAAAGTCCATCATATATCTGACTGTGAGAATAGGTAGTGTCGGGGGCCGCGCTGGGCACAAGTAAAGCACCCTCCTCAGCCCTGAGTGATGAAGGTACTGAACTGGCATCGCAGGCCACGTAGTGTGCGAAGCAAGTGGGCCTTACCTCTGCTTGGCAAGGAAGGGCTTCAGCCCTGGGCTTGAGCGTTACCCAATGGGATTGGGCAACCCCCTTTCTGAAATTCTATCTCCTGCCTTATTTGGGTGGAATATTCTATGGAATGTCTTTTCCCTGATAAATAGAGGGGTTTTGGGGACACTTCTCTCTTGCCTTCCAGCAAGGAAGAGGACCCTTGAGGTCACAGAGCAGTCCCACCCTCAACCTGAGAAACTCATGTCTGTGTGTTGTGTGGTTTCTGTGTCGTTTTCTTAGCTTAATGTTGCAGCCAGCACCTTTGCACCCAGCTCATCTCATCGGCCCAGCCAGTTGGTGGGAAAGTAGTTTTCCAAACTCTAATTAAAAATACTACTACTACTACTACTACTATGGCCACTCTTGATTGCTTACAAGTGCTCAGCTCTGGGGGATGCTCCATGTATATCCCGATTCCCTTATCACAGCCACTCTGTGGGGCTGGCATTGTCACTTTCCACCTTTTGTTGGGGGTGAGGGGAATCTGAAGCTGAGGAAGGTGTATCAATGAGCCAAGGTCCTGGGGCAGGAAGTAAAGTAGATGGGATTGAAACCTCGGGGGGACTTTAATTTAGCTACTAGACTTAAAAGGCATGTCAAGACAACATGTGTCCATAGGACCATCGCAGATGTCAGCAACTGTTAACATACTGACTGGAGAGGCCATGTGGGCAGATTTTTAACAGAACAAGGCACAGTGACTTCCCATAAGGCCTCACAGCTGCTGGCTGCCATATACAGGTCTCAAAACTGGTACTGCCAGAGGCCAACATCAGTCTTTTCCCTTTCTCCAGAAAACAGGAGTGTGGGCTGCAGTCATGATCATGAATACTCCCCCCTCTACCCACGGCCTGCCAGGAAAGGCTTGACTTGTCCTAGGCCGTAAGGACCCAGGGACTGCTGATTTAGATTTATTACTCTTCAATAATTGACGGAACCAAGAACAAATTAAAAAACCCACTAGGATTAATCCAACAGACTCTCCCAGAAATAGAAGGGTATTTGTGGAATCTGTTTCTGTAATACCTCATGAATTTTTTAATGTTCCCAGTATATATGGCGCTGCCTGCAACCCGGGGCACACACTCATGTAAGTTCTACTTCGCGGGGAGAGGTGCGTCCTCAGTCATACCAGGGTATAAATTCAGTGTTGTGAAGCATCACCATGTTAGAGTTGCTTCACGTTTTTGCAGAACTCATTAACTGCTGGCAATTAGCACTGTTTTGCTCCACAAAATGACACCATTTGGCATGTTCTATCGCCAATACTGTGGATGTGATGATATCATTTACATTTCATGTGCCATCTGCTTTTAGGCAGAGAGAAAGCAGAATAAAGAGACTCTTCAGCCGTTTCTTACTTTCTTAGCTACAGGAGGCTTAATTAAAAACAAAAAATGACAACGTGAGACACTTACCACTCCTCTCTTGGAGAAAGGCCATCTTGTTTTCTTGGATTCTGGTGGGTGAAATAAAAGCAAACATGTTGTAACTCAGAGCAACTGGTGACAGATCCTTGCAGGGCTTCGTGAAGCTTCCTTTTTGAAAATAAGCCAAACAGAATTCATCCTACTTTCATTCTTTTGAAAATACATAGAATGAATATTTATATTTTTGCAAAGGAGTGAATGATGCAGTGTCTGACCTGGTTCTGCTGCCTAAAGATGAATCATGCAGGTACCAGGAACTGAGCCCAGGGGTGCTTAACCACTGAGCCACATTCCCAGCCCTACTTAGCATTTTATTTAGAGACAGGTTTTCACTGAGCTGCTGCTTAGGGCCTCCCTAAGTTGCTAAGGCTGGCTTTGAACTCACGATCCTCCTGCTTCAGCCTCCCAGAACTGTTAGGATTACAGGTCACACACCTGGCTCATGCAGGTCTTTACTAGGGTATTGTTTAGATTCCTTTCCATTATCACTTGGGGAGAAATCTATGAACTGCAATAAAGATGTTGAGTAATGGGCTGGGAAAAATAGCTCAGTAGGTAGAGTGCTTGCCTTGCTTGTATAAGGCCCTGGGTTCAATCCTTAGCACCACACACACACACACACACACACACACACACACACACAAAGATGTTGAGTAATTATTAGAGAATCATAATGCTTTTGGGCTGAAAGGGCTGGGCCCTCATTCTTATGCCATATCCCACCACACAGACTTCAATCACCTGACCAAACTTGAGACTCAGTTTCTATTAACTCAGGAATCCCCAGATGCTGTTAAATGAGGATTCCTGAGATAGGGGACATCAACATGACATCACCAATCTTTATATGTTGTCTTGTTGCCATTGGCCACCATCCAAATCATCTTTAGGAGTGGCTTTGGGATGAGAAGAGAGTATTGTTCAGTCACACATTATTTTGGTGACTAGGTAATAAAGATCTTTTGGTCCTTTTCTGATCTTTTGGTTTTAATGTTATTTCTGCTGCTCAGAAAAAAACTGGAAATTCCCTCTTAGATTTATAGGATGTTCTGACCACTGGGTATAGAAAATAGAAGTCTTATTGGTCTGTCTGTCTTTCAGAAGTCTGGTTCATTGGGGGTGTCTTTCGAATGTTCAATCAGACAGAAGTAATTACAACATTCACTCAAAGGATGTGTTTGAGGGACCTGCTCTACTGTAACCTTGGATGAGACCTAATCAGCCCAACTGAGTATCCTCTCATTTATTATGACCACATTATTGATCTTTATAAATGGGAGAGTAGGTAAAATTTCCTGTAGGGACAAATGAGATTCTCTATACTTAGCCCTCAAATGACTAGTGGTAAATTATGCAATTCAAAATGCAATATTTGGGATCCTTGGCAAATTTCTCTCCTCTTTTTTTCCCCCTAATTTTGAAAATAATTCTGAATACTTCATAAATATTCAGAAAAAGGTTTGAATGAGTCTTTATTAAAACCACAATCTTTCATTATCTATCTTAAATATTATCTTTGCTGAATTAAGCTACTTTAATAGTATCTGAAGGTGGCACATATGTGCATCTAAGCTTGAGAGACCCTGCCATAGACCGTGAACTTGGAACATGAGACCTCTATTCTAAACACCTTGAGGAGCGGGCTTGGTGGGTTGTGGTAGAGAACATTGCTTGTCTTCTGTATTATGTGGTGCCTGCTATGATCCCAGGCACACAACTTACAAAACAGCTAGTATGAAATGGAAGCATCACACAGCCATCATGACCTTGCTTCTCACTGTAGTGGTCCTCAAACTTCAGCTGGTACCAGGGTTTTGCAGAAAGCGAATTGCCGGACATCACTCTCAGAGTTCCTGATTCAGTATGTATGGGATGGGACCCCAGAAGCTGGATTTCTCACAACTTCTTGGGGTGGGGGATGCCAATCCTGCTGATTTAAGACCAGTCTTGGGGACCCCTGATCTAGTTGTTCATGAGTGTGAGTGTTTATGAAGCATCATGAAACGTGTACTAACCTATGTTAAGAATACACTGGATTCAGAACTACTTCTGCCTTGTAGGGGTGGATCCTGAACACCCTCTCTCCCCTTGGTTTGGTTATTTGTGGTGTGGTAACATAGGGGACAATAGATGTTGGTCCTTATATGTTGTGCCACAATAGACAGTAGCTGTGGAAGAGACCTACACAGAATGAAGAGCTGTTCATTCTTCTGTATTCCTGGGGCTTCTGCATTCCACATCCAGAAGGCTACATCTGCCCATGTTGGGTGACTGATACAGACTGGTGGAAAGAGCTGGGGACCAGAAGTCTGGAGCTTAGATCCATTCCCTGGACACTAACCAGCTCACATGGTGACTAGGTTGCTTCTCCTTCTTGGGTCTCACTTTGCACATATGTGAATAAGGAATGAGCTTGATTATTTTCAGACTGTTTTACCAGGTATCCAAGGTTTCTGGGGATTGCCTGGCGTGAGTCTTTTGGGTCTACTAAGATTTAGTCAATGCAACTTTACCTAGATCTATTTTATACTTTGGATTTTCATTAAGTTAAGATTTTTTTAGGTAAAACATCCAGCTAGGAACAAAACCAGCTTAAAGCTACTATTATGGGCAATCTTTAGACCTCATTTTTAGCTATCAAAGACTTCAGTTTTCTTACCCTCAGAACCATGAGGAAAGCACCCTGAACAACTGCTCTTTCCTTTCACAGCTGAGGAGTCAGCCCCAAAGCTGCCTTTCCCTGTTAGACACTAATCTGTTCTACCACCTTTGCTACCCCCTGGGACCACTCTGGTTGGAAAGGACCAAAGTGAGGCTGAAGTTCAGAAGTGGGTGGGAGATAAGCTTTGTAGCAATTATTGGCAAGCTGCCCATCATCCCAGTAAGGACACTCTGGTCCAAAATGGTCACTGTCACTGATGCAGCTCTCCTGGGTCCTCAACTTGGAATAAATTATGACAAGAGGACATCGTGAGGGGAGACCCATGCTTTATCCATCTCTGTAAATGGAATGCCTAAAACCAAGACTGGGAGTCAGCTGTTTCCGGTCCTCTATGCCTGGGTCTGTTCTAATTGGCGAGACTTCTGTTCTAACTGGTCAGTGCACGTATTTCACTAGTTTTTAAATATTGGGAACATCTTCCTGGCTTATGGCATCATCTGTCCCAGAACAGGCTTATCATGAACATAGGCTGAATGAACGGGACCTGGATTCAGCAGCAGTAGTGGGTGGCACAGGTAATCTGCAGCTCCATCAGAAACCAGAAGGTCCCCGGGAAACACCTCGAGTCCAGGTAAGTTCAGCACCACAGAACTGCGCCTGCGCTCGTAGAACCTGTGCTTAAGAGAGGAAAGAAGAGAGCTCAGAGCTGGGGTGCAGGTGGGATCATTGTTCAGACCCTCTCTGGTCACATAGACGTGGCTGCTCACCACCTGATATCTGTCCTACTAGGAAAGTCTCAGGACCGCTTGAGGATCCAGGCACAGGTGGCCACAATGACACACACAGACTACATTTACTGGCCACCTCTTTGGTCCTTATTGACCATTTATAATTTTAACTAATCCAAACCAGAAGAGGCCATGTAGAAATACTAACATGAATGTATCTATTTGCTCTGATTGGGAAGGATACCAGGAGGAATTCCTAGTATCAAACACAAAAGTCTTGCCAATGAGGCACACTGCCTCAGAAGTGAGTAGGATGGTAGAGGTGGCCTCTGGCACTTCTAGTAATTCAAAGCCAGTTGTTTGAAGTCAGCACTGTTATTTTTCTTAGAGAAAAACAAGAACTATTGCAGGAAAAGCTTAGCAAGTGTGTATATATATATATATGCCTCTCTTTTCCTCTACTCTGTTTCATGAAATTTTCTTTCTGTTGGATGTTCACAAAATCAATAATTTAAGTATCAGACACAGTGGGGAGAAGGTCCAAAGTCACCGGGCATTTACAAAGTGCTATTCAAGGAACACAGCTGGAAGGGCGTCTGCCATGCCGGGAACTCGTCTGGTACAACGAATTCTAGAGATTCTCCGTTTCCTCATCAGGACCATGCAGATATTTCTTTAGTCTATTCTATGAAGCAGAAGACACAATTCCTTCTATTCACTGACAGATGTGATCTTGAAATTCTCTTTTAACAACCGACCATCTAGAATATAGGCGACTTCATGTAGATAGAGATTTTGGCTAATCCAAAGCAGAAGTAGTCATATGGAAATGTCAACACAAACGCTGAGGAACTGCCCAGGAAGTTGAGAGCTCAGGTTTGTCTTGCCCCTTTAGTTGTTATGATTTTGTTCATTGTCCTGTAGCACCCCTGCCTCCCCTGTCTCCCAATTAGCCATGCGTGGCACTCTATGAATCTCTTAGTGCAGTTCTTTCTCTGAGCCTTCCACTTTCCTACCTGCCTGTTACTCTAGACATACCATGCTTTTAACCAAAGTCCCCTGGTTCTGACCTTCCCTGAGTGATAACTTTCTGCCTGTGCTTTCTCTCTTGCCTCTTAATTGTGCCATCTTGGATCTCATGGTTTCCTTCTTGTCTAGATGTCTGATGTTGGGGACTAGTCACGTCCTTTCATGTCCATCATGCTGCTGAACAAAATCTGGTTTACTTCAGCACCTTCCGTGGAACTTATTATAAACACGCATCCCTACGTCCCACCTTTGGGATCTTGATTCAGTAGGTCTGTGGCCAGCCCTGGTGTCAGTAGTTTGACTCAGTTCACCCTAGAAACTCACCAGAGTCAGAGAACAAACTAATTTTAAGGCTATAAATAACTTGATATATACCTTTCCTTCCTTGATATACACCTTTGCATTTTAAGGATTATTTCAAATGTTAAGCCTTTGGCTAAAAAACCTTTCCATACTGGTAGTAGGACAAATTGTTTAGCACTTTCTAATTGGTAAACAACTTAAATCCGGTAAATTTCTACAAGACATATGAAGAACGCCTCAGCCTCTGCTGTCGGCATATGAGAAAGTTTGCTGCTTTCTCATGCTTGCTCCAAAGAGTCTTTGCCAATTCTCTCTGGGACCCACTGGGTCAGGCCCTCAGCATTTTGTCCATAGTGACACGATCACCTCTTAACTTTTACCTTCAGCTGCATCTTTGTGATTCCTGTGCACAGTCACTAAACATGAGTAATCCACAATTTAAGTCCGACCTCGATCCCCTCTGCCTGCAGAAGCTCTTCATCTTATACCAGAGAAACACATTGTTAAGCCATGCACCCAGGCCTTCTGTGATACTCTTGATATTTTTTTACTTGACAATTTTTTTTTTCTGGAAATAGGGAATGGTTTGGAAATCCTAACAAAAATGGTGTTTTACACCTCTGTACTTTGGGAGTGTTTTATCCCTTCTGACCTTCCCAAGCTTAATATGAAGAGATGCAGGCCCATGGGGTACCTATGTTAAGTAGCTTAAAAGGGAAACACATACATAAAATTTGGCTCAGCTTCATTCCATTATCTATATTTCCTGGGATTTAAAATTTGGTTTTACTTTCCTTTCTCTGATTTTCTCAATGCTCGGTCCCTGATGAACGTGAATGAATGAAACAATCCTCTGATCTCCTCCCTCATGGGAAATGATTTATTTTATAAGGTGGTTTTGTAGATTCATATCTTATTTCCTCTATTATCCTAAGCTCCTAGCTCCTGGTTTAAATCCTGCAACTTTGTAAGGATTCAGTAACATTTGTCAGGTAAATGGAACAATAACCAAACCTGTACAAGCTTAGAGCAATGAGTGTCCTTTTCGAGCACAAACTTCTGCAGAATGTGTGCTCCAGTGATGGTTAGCTTCATACTGGTCCTTGGACACTCTCTGCACCGCATGCCTCCATGCCTTGGTCAGGTAGTTCCCATCTGCCTGCCCATCTCCACTCTGTCTTACTGGCAAATTCCAGCATAGGTATTCTTCCCCCAGAAGTCTTTCCTGATCCACTCAGGAAAGGTCAATTCTCTCCTCTGCCACTCAGAAAGATTTCATTGAAGTCTCTAACTGGGTCTTTTTTTTTTTTGGTGCGGTGCTGGGGATTGAACCCAGGCCCTTGTGCATTCAAGGCAAGCACTCTATCAACTGAGCTGTATCCCCAGCCCTCTTACTAGGTCTTATGCATCTAATCACTGAGCATAAAATCTGACACAGAGCAAGTACTCAAATAAGCTTGTTGAATAAATACATATTGGCTGATAGAATAAAATATTGACAGACTTCGAATGAAGGTTTTATATTCCGAATCATAAATAAGTAATTATATGTATATAGAAAAGCCAAATATAATTTGAGTCCCCCCTACCTCCCCACCTTAGGTCCCGTTATAGGTGGTTAAATTGCCACTATCCATGTCTCTCTAGCCTGGGTAACTCTAGCATAAGGGAACTGTTTGGGACCACACAGGTCAGGTTCGGAGTTGAATTTACACATATGGACCTGCCTGGTACAGGTCTTGAGCCATGACCTTGGCTCTTTGTCTTTGTGGTCAAAACCCCGTGATGCTCATTCTGGGAGGTAGAGATGCCCCTGGAAAGGCATAACATAACCTGTGTGGATGTGAACATTTTTTGTTCATCAAGAAGGCATAGGGTTAATAACAATATCAAGAACCATAGCTGTTACCATACAGAGACCTAGGAAAACAATTAGAAAGAATACTTGCCCCCTGTAATATGAAGAGACATGGATTGGTGCAGAATATGTGCTCTTGCATTCCATGCCTGGTGGTGAACTAGATTTCTGGGGACCTGAAAAAGACCCTGATCTGTGTCACATGGAGTTGCTCAGATCATTGGATTAATGATACTAATGCAAATAGTTGTAATGAGATCAGCATGACTTTAAATTTAGGTCTCCTGTAGGTGTGAGAACACATGCTTGGTTCCAAACTGACGTCTCATTTTTGCTCTTCTAAATACTGGGATTGCTCCTTTTAAAAAGCAGCAGGCAGGCAGGATCATTGCCCTGGGTTCTGGATTGATTATCCACTGGAAGTGAGCATTGTAATGAGTTCAGACTCTTCACCCACCTTCCCCAAACAAAATAGTGTGTGCGTGGGGTAGAAGTGTCCTGGGTAAAGGCAGCAGGAAGCAGAATTTTTAGAAATCTGATTTTCTCATGAGGAAATTAAACTAGGAAATAAAGTAATAATAAATGCAAAATATTTAGGGTGTGGCTGGCAACCTACTGTCACTATGAAAGTACAGTGCTATCTATGCTGCCCTCCATTTGTTTGGAAAAATACAACTAAAGAAATATCTTTGAGCAATGCATTTCTGGGTTGTTCTTTTCTGGTCTGATGCTTGGTTATTTTGATTCTTTGCTTCAGGACAAATTTCTGAATCCCTGGGGCTGTATAACTGGGTGCCTCACCTAGACTTTGCAGCCCTCTAGGGCTTGACACCCCTGCCTTGGCCTGCCCACCCCCACTCAGAAACCCCAAACACTAACCCTGAGTTGCGATGCCCCAAGCCGGTCAGATCCGAAGGGACTAGTCCCATGGTTGCAGGAATAATCTTGTCTCCCTCCTGGTACCAGAATGTCTCCTTATTCTGTCCTCTGCTGCAGATCGGAGGATCCATGGTGTGGGCTGGGACAGAAACAATGCAGAGAATCCAGGGAATTCCCCTCACTGCTGATCAGGCCCTGAGCCCTGAGCTCAACAATGAAGCTGCTCTGTCGTGTTGGTGCCAGGAAAGTTTCTGGGTGCTAGAAATGTGCCCCCCAGTGGACGGACGCCCAATGCATATATTTTGTTGGTCTTGGTGACTATTACTCTTACAATCAGCCAGCAATTACTGAGCACCAGTTTTTCTAGGCACTTTGTTAAGTACCTACATGCATTATAATCAGATGGATTTCTCATAAGCACCCCAAGAAATGGACATTCTCATTCACATTTTAGATCAAAGGAAATCGAGGCTTAAAAACATGGATAAAGGGCTGGGGCTGTAGCTTAGTGGAAGAATGCCCACTTCGCATGTGTGAGGCACTGGGTTCGATCCTCAGCACCACATAAAAACAAATAAAGATACTGTGTCCAACTACAAATAAAAAATTTTTTTTTTAAAAAAAGATGGATAAAGAACTTGCCTAAGGACACATTGTTTTAGTGAACGACAGAACCAGAATCCAAAATTCAAATATGAAGAACCAACACCAAAAGGATTTGTAAATAGGAAGAAAAGAAAGAGATATGGCCAATCATTGTAAAGGACAAATACTTTGAAAAGCGGATATAATGATGGTAACTACTTTAGTAAAGGAAGGAGTATAATAGGTTGAATGGTGGCCACCCAAAAATATATGCCCATATTTTAATCCTT